TCCTTTCTTCATATTTATTCTCCGAAATCTATTCTAATTTATTAACTTGAAAATTTCGATGGAAAATTATCAGAAATTCGGCAACACCCGAATGTACATAAGTCGTTCTTCCTTAGCGCAGTGCTCGTGCTCGGGATTTCACCTCCCGCATTAACCGGGCGCGGGGGTTAATTATTTTCCAGGGCGCTCTGTTGGTGACGCGCCCCGGAAAAACACGCCTCAGCTTCCTAGAAACCGATTTGATTTGTTGCCATTAAAATATTAAGAAGTAAGCTCTGAAGCTTTTCCGCCGGAATTTTGAGGAATCAACATCGCGGGGACGGATATGAAGTTTGAGCAAGTTGGGAGAATGGAAATTTAGAAGAGTTTCCGTTTTCGAGCATCAGAATTCCGGGGTTAAACAAAAATTTTAATGAAATAATATACCTGACGGGAGAATTGAATCGTGAATTTAAGTTTAAGTGACCAACAGACAGTTTTTAAGAATTTGAATACTAAAATAATTCCAGATTTTTATTTATTTATTTTTTTTTTAAAATAATTTTTTATCTTCATTATTCATGCATTTATTGGTGTTAAAAATTATCGTTTTGAAAATGAGAGGTGAAACGTCATGACGTTTTACCCCTCATTTTTAGACATCTCCTAGGTGAAGGCACATCCCAGGCGGTAGTGAAGGATGCTGAAATAGTCATTTCAGCATCCTTCACTACTATAGAAATTTAAGTCAAATCGGCTGTTATCTCCGACAGATCAGCAGTAAACACACGCGATCTAGCGACGCAAAATGAGATACAAATCGGCGTGCTCCTAAGTCAAGACATTGTCTAATCGCTGATTTTGAAGGCGGACATCCAGTCTCATCAAATGTTTGCACATCCTGTATGGATTATTCTCGTTTTAATTGATGAAAAAAAAAAAAATACGTATTAAATGAATGTATGAGATGTAATGTAAGGATGTATGGAATTAAAGGAATGTTTATATTAAAGGAATGGATATGTATGTGTGCTTTATCGTTGAAGGAAAATATAACGTGTGTTTTGTAAATATTAAGGTGGTTCCGTATCAAACTTAATGCTTTCCAAAGCACACGAATTTCTACACAATTTCTTATAGCCTTTTATAATCGATGGCGAAAAAGCAACAGCCAGGCGATAAAGTGTAAAACCCGGCTATAGGAACTATAGCCCGGCTGCATAATTTTGTATCGCTTCGTATAGCCCGGCCGTATGATTTTCTCCGCATTCTACTGCCAGCTATATAATTTTCTGTAGCCTTCTTTAGCTGGCTATAAGAATTCCTATGGTATTTTGAAACGCAGCTCTTATCGCCAATTTTTACTAGGGTTTTGACTCCATGAGGGGGTGCTGTCTTGACTCTCAGTACGTATGAAGACGAAGACTCTGTTCGGCGCATAGCTTTCTGATTGATCACGCAAAATAGGCCTGCATGGAGCTCTTGGCTGCACAGTGGACCGAGCCACTTGGAGAGGCTGGACAAAATTTGGACACTTTAAAAACTTATGACTCCGTTCGTAAAAAAAAAAAAAAAAAAAAAAAAAAAAAAAACTTCGAGGTTATAAAAGTGGTTCCATTCGTTTCCTAGTGAAATTTTTCTTTAGAAACACCCCTTATGACGAATTAGACATCAAAATTTGCTGTTTTCATTAAAAATTTCATGTTCGACCTCTATGATAAACAAAATTTTGCTGTATAATCAAATATTAAAACCTATATGGCAGTATGCTTCACAACTATGGGGTTGTGCAAGCAAATCTAATATAAATAAGGTAGAAAGATTCCAGTCGAAGGTTCTACGAGAAATTATTGGAGTACCATGGTTCGTAAGGGACGAAGACATAAGGAGAGAATTAGAGGTACCCACGGTTAGACAAGTAATTGCTGAGACAACGAAGAGATATGAATGTCGTATTGAAAAGCATATCAATGTAGAGGCTTTAAACCTTTTAGATAGTACAATACCTGTGAAAAGGTTAAAAAGGTGGGAGACCTTTGAACTCCCATCAAGATTTAAGTAGTCTGTAAGGTATGAATGAGAGAGTGAATGGAGTGTGAATGAGGGTGAAAGGAAGAATGCAAAACCATTAAACTAAAAACCTTTATGTTATAATACATTTAAGAAAGAAGGCAGAGAATTTACAATTCCTGTTCTTTTAGATAATCATAGTATTATCTAACGTTAACATATAAAATTAATGCAGTTTGTTAAGTTTTAGTTTTAAGCCACGTAGATAGATACAAGAAACACTTGTAGTAGTTACGATATATTTAAATAAAATTTCTTTTAAAAAAAAAAAAAAAAAAAAAAAAAAAAAACCTCTATGATTGACGCGATCCACTGTGGGCCGTTGGTGAGCAACCAAAATGGCAGCTTTACGCAATCCTTTAGTTATCTCCGAAAGGAGTTGATTATAGTGAAATGCGCTAATGAAGAATCCCATCAATAAGTGGGAAGAACATAAAACTTTAGAGTTAATTTTGGGTCCTAATAACTCGCTTAGAACGTGGTTCGTTGCGTAGACCCATGAGGGAAAATATGTTGCAATCTGTGTCGATACATTGCGAATTAGCATTTTTATAAAGGTGTCCCTAAATTAGACGCAAAAACTTACAAAAAGCTCAAAAATATTTTATGCACAAGGCAATATTAGGGCGAATTTTAATAGTTGCTTGCTTCTAATTGTACCTCAAAGAAAACTCTCCACTTTAAGGCACAATAAATATCCGAACCGCGCTATCAATGAAATCCTTAATCGTTCGAAGTGACGAAGTTTACTGTGACGATAATGTAGAAAGTGTTGCGGTGAATTTTGCATATTTCGATCCCGTATCCTGAAAACTCCTCAGGGTTCATAAAATGTTAGCTATATCTATGAAAAATGGTTGAGTGGAAACCGGGCAGTCTTTAAAAGAAAATTCAGATAAGTAAGCTATCGGAGGAAAAGGGGTTGAGAGAATTGCAGGAAGAAAGACTTCTTAAGAGTCTGCGAGATTACCACGTTTTGTCGATTTGTTGTGTGTTTCAGGCGAGTGGAGTCCCGTTATTATTAGGGTTTCATAAATATGAAAAATGTGAAATACGAGGGCAATCCAAGAAGTAGGGTTTCCCCCGGCTGTTTCTGGGGCACCATTAATGCTCGTAAAAATCCGATTATACCGTTGAATTTTGCATACTCTCAGCTTTAATTAAACCGTCTAGCTTTAAATTGGCCAGTAGACGGGGTATGAATGATAGCACTTCTCTGCGCTTTCCGAATTAAAATTTCGTAGGAAAATAACTCTTAGAACGGAGAGCTAAAAAATCAAACCTTGACTTAATTATATTTGGACTGCATTTTACAATTTGGAACTATAAAGTCTAGCTCTTCTGGAAAAACACTTATTCGTAAAGATATTAATGGCACATACGTTGTTTTTAAACTGGGCTAGAATTTATAGTTCCAAATTGCAAAATGTACTCCATTTGACAAGATTTTTCGGTTTTCGGCTACTCATAATCACCATACATTTTTTATCACTAGTTTTTTCTGAAAACTAAAATAATCGAATCACAAATCAAAGGGTGTCAACTCTGGTTTATTCTGAAATTCTAGGGTGTTTTTACGCAGAAGTGCTCGTAAAAACTTCTCAAATCAATGGTAATATTACATCTCAGTTTTTAATTATATTCCGTGCAAGTCCCACGCGCCCAGTCTCGCGTGGGCTGGGACCCCTAAGGGGCTCTCTGCACCTTTCCTCCTTCCAGTAAACAAACAAACAAACAAACAAAAAGAAAAAAAACGAAAAAAAGGGGGAAAATCCTGTGCTGAGAACTTCTTTCTCGTGGACAGCCGTCTAATTTAATGAAAAAGCGTCCTTTTTCTAAGCCACGTCACAAATTTCAAGGCAATAAAAAGCACATTTTGATGAAAAAGGCCAGTAGGTGGTGTCATTTGTAACTGTTTTTGAATCGAAACTGGACCTCGGGCCCCGCCTACAACCCGGAAACCGAGGGCAGCTAGGAAAGTGTAGCTTGTGCAGACTGAGGCTTATCTCCACCCCTCTGTACGCGGTCTACGTCCCATCCACTTAAGATAAAAAATAATTAATGGGAAAGGGCTTAAAACGCGTTGTCACTCTAAATGAAATTTCACTCTCACATTCATCATGCCTTTGCAGTCACCAGCCACCCTCTCTGCTAGGCTTTGCTCTCGGGACGTAACCCGTTCTTGGCTGCTTTTAAACTCTTCCTCTAATTTTTCTGGGTCTCTGTGACTTGACTGAGTGAAGAATTTCTCAGTGAAAAAAGGTCAATTACGACGAGCTGTCGAATAAGAAGCAATCGGAGTTGAGCATGACCGAGTTAGTGACATGGGACCCAACTTTACTGCCGTGCTAAGGAATAACGCCTTATGAACAGTCCAGAGTTGCCATATGCCCTCCAATAACATGTTTATCTTCAAGGAAAGATATTAATATTTTTCCATGAAATTTTCAGAGACTTCAGATGAAATTGCGAACAAAATTATCTGAAAAATTGGAGGGAAAATATTCATAAGTTTACCAGGAAATTCATGTTTTATCAATGGAGATTTGGCAACGCCTGAAGGTTCATACGGCGTTTTTCCTTGACACGGCAGATTAACCCTCTGCTCTGCTGAGAGGATTCCACACGGGGGAAAAATCGCTTCAAATCCGCGAGTCTGAATTGGTTGGGCCGTGTTAGGTAGCAATAAAAACAGAATCACACCGTGCTGGAATTGAAAATAACACGTTTGAAGTGCTATTTGTAGACAAAATTTAATGTTACAAATAAAATTTAATCCCTACTTTAACATTCACAATATTTTGTCTTGACTTGGAATATTCAACTGCTGGGAACGGTTTATTTCATTATTATTTTCTCAGCTTTTTGCAGAGACAAAAAATCTGGAAATCTTTGAGAAACCATACCGTGTGTGCACATTTTAATAAAATTTTGTTTTATTTTTGTTGCAGACAGAAACACGTGAGTTTTGCCCGCTCGCCAACTTTAACATCTTTCGAGGACCTTTCTTCCACTGCCATTACCAACAACACAACTTGTAGTCAAGAGAGACTGATAGACTGTAAGAAATTGGATAGCCCGAAAGAGTCACCCAAGACCATAATTTCAGGTAAGGAGTTTTTTCCCCAAATTTCGGAGGTTAAATGCTTCGATTCGTCTAACGATGACTTATGATCAAAGTTTTGAGCAGTTGTTTCAACAAACGGAATCTAAATTGCAAAAAAAAGCCTGGCAAAGTCCTCAGTAAGGACTTTCACCACTCATGAGTAATCATCAGGCGAATTTCTTTGATTTTCAATTTATCAGTCTATAATTCATCACTCTTAGGATCTGAGTGTCCTGAAACTCTTCAGTAACCGTTGTTGGCCTTGGGCGGGAAAAACGTAAATCTGAGCTCAACCAGCGTACCTCAGATAAAGATCAGCAGTTATTTCCGCGTTAAAATGAACACACTTCCAGGGACTTTTGATAGAAAAAATTACTTCCTCGCATACATTCAGTTTTCTCCGGCGCTAGTTCAAACTTTCACGACCCCACCGAAGCTTGTGCGGCAAAATTGCCCCTCACAATAAAAACCTAGGGAGTGGCCCTCTTCTCACTTTTTCAAATGAATAAATTAAGGGGGATTTCCTTTCATCCCTTAAAAAGTTACGGAAGTTCATTGGAAGTTATGGAAGTTACAAAAGCACTTCATGCTCTCGTGGTCGGTAACCACAGAGAGGGTTGAATTACATCCGAAGGTAGACCGTCCAGTCGCTACCGTCCAGTAGCATCAGGTTGGCGACAAGAGTGCTGCATATACCTCTGCAATTATACGCACATAAGAGTATACCTTGTGCAGGAGACAGACGCAATGTTACCATATTTAACGTTACTGCCTATTTTACATAGGTTGTCCCAAAAGTACTGCACGTTTTTTTCTTATTGACGAACGGTAGTAGATATCAAAATGCGGTTTGTGTAGTCTTAAAGACCGGCCAATTACCGATAAAATAAGACAATTCCGAGCTCTCTAAGTCAAAAAATGACCAAGTTACAGCCTTTTGAAAATGACTTGTAGAGGGGACCCCTACGGGATTTTCAGCTTCTTTTCTGGAAAAAAAAACAAAGAATTAAGGATTCAAGTGGTTTTTATTAAATCAATTTTGCAGAATCTTACCAAGATTACTAGCATTTACTCTTCTTCACTGGATGACTGGACACTAGTTTCCTTCTCAAAACACCCTCCATCACTTGCCACACAGCGCCGCAACTGTTCTTCCCAATTCTTCAAAGATTGTTTTTTCGAATTCTTCTTGTCTAGTGTTCTTTAAGAAAGTTTCAACAGCTCTTTTCATCTCGTTGATGGAGTTAAACTTCCTGCCTCTTAAGCCCTTTTTCAACGTAGGAAATAACCAAAAATCGCAGGGAGCAAGGTCCGGGCTGATATCATGTTACCAACTTCATTCGATCGTGACGATTTCTCTGTAGAATTTTCGATCAATCAAATCTTTGTTTTTTCCAGAAAAGAAGCTAAAAATCCTGGAAGGGCCACCTCTACAAGTCATTTTCAAAACACTGTAACTTGGTCATTTTTTGACTTAGAGAGCTCAAATTTGTCTTGTTTTATTGGTAATTGCTCGGTCTTTAAGACTACACAAACCGCATTTTGATATCTGCTACCGTTTGTCCAAAAACACAAACAATCAACTCTTTGTTTTTTTTCCAAAAAAGAAGCTGAAAATCCCGTAGGGGTCCCCTCTACAAGTCATTTTCAAAACGCTGTAACTTGGTCATTTTTTGACTTAGAGAGCTTGGATTTGTCTTGTTTTACCGGTAATTGGCCGGTCTTTAAGACTACACAAACCGCATTTTGATATCTTTTACCGTTCGTCAATAAGAAAAAAACGTGCAGTACTTTTGGGACAACCTATGTACATTATAAAACCCGTAATTTGCACAGACAAATGCAGGTCTTCTAAACACGAGTACCCAGTCATCGGGCAACGTTTACTCTATGATGCACTGAGAGTCATGATTGAGAATTTAATGATATTACTCTCGACCTTTGCCAAGAGGCTCTCGTGAGTCTCCGATAAAAACCGAGTGTGGCTGTCAAGGGGAAGAGAGGAAGACAGACGGTGCAGAGTGCACGTCCCACGGAGACGGATTTTGCAAGGGAGCAATTCTTGTCACGTTGGGAGATAAAATCAGAATTACTTTTAAACGAAGATAATCCACTCGTATCCCGAAGAGAACATTTCAAGCGGCTTGGCACATCAGTTTGGTTCCAACGGATGGTTTTAAGTTCGATTTTCATTCGAGAATTTAGAGCCTCAAACTTGCCAAATGCACTGGGAAAAAAACACATTTGATCTAGAGTCCAGACTCTTGAAAATATTGACAAGAAAAATGACTCTTGATTCAATCAGATGTAAGCTTAAATCAATAACCCAGCCTCTTAATTTGAGTGGATTTCTTTTTGATTTAAGCTTGAATCTGATTGATTCAAGAGTCATTTTTCTTGTCAATGTTTTCAAGAGTCTGGACTCTAGATCCAATGTGTTTTTTTTTTTCCAGTGTGGTATAAATTTAAATAGATTTTGCCGAGTCCTGAAGGATATAGCTGTTCTCACTGTGCAAACTTAGTATTTTTCTAGTTTTTTCACCTATTTTAATAGAATAATACGTTAGAAATTTGAACTGTTCAGATTTTTTCAAAACATTGTTTTCTTGCATTTTTTCGCTTATAGAGCTATGTCCGTATGCGCGTACAAAATGTCATGCAGGTATAGCGCGGATCAATACCAATTGGATTAATGCGGCGTTGGTTGAATTCAGAAAAATTTTGTAAATATGAATTTGCTCCTGCCTATTTTGTGAAATTGAACGGAAATCTATGCGTTCTAGGGTTTAATATCGATCGAGTTTAATAGAGAGGACCATAAAGTTGATTTATTTCTCTGCATTGATCTCATCAATATACCTACAAAAAATCTGAAAGTGAACCAACGGCGCACTTGGTTCCTTTTTCTGAATTTATTAAGCTACATTTTTGCGATCAAAATGAGGGACCCAAACTATTTAAATCCAAAAAAATACATAGATTTCCGTGGTAATCTAAGTTTTTTTATTTAGTTTGAAAATAAACTCCTGCAGTTCCTTAGAACGAAATTTTAAAACTCGAAATTTTCCCAACGAGGAACAAAAGGAGATTCTACAGCTATCCCACCCCTTGTTTTCCAGAAAAACTTGGATTCTTTCTATGTTAAGCTCGATCTGCATATTGTTACCTTCCGACCAAAGTATTACAAGCGCCATGCGACGTTTAAAAATGTCCGCCGCCATTTTATTTTTTCACAGAGAAATTGTTGGCTTAATCTGTTTGAACATTTCACTGAATTTTATCGGCAATACGAAGAAAATACAGTGAAATTTTCAGACAGCTTCGTTGAAAAACGTTTCTGTAAAAAAATTAAATGACGGTGGAAAGTTTGAATCGCCGCACAGCGCTTGTGAGACTTTGGCCGGAAGGTGACGCTATTGAGTACAAGTGCAAAAACAAGATCCGGCAATACAGGCCCCATCGAAGATAACTAAAGTTTAAGAGTATGACGGTGGGTCATATTAAAAGGTTCATAAATCTCTCAACATTGTCGATAAAACAAAGTCAATTTGCGTGCCATGCCCTTTTACGATAGAAAAAATTCGAAGAGTCATCAGAGACAGAGGCGACCGGAATTAAGGGGGATTTCAATTAGCTGAGCCATTTACGGGGTTCGCTCGTTTAATTTACACGATCAAGAGAAGTCTGAAGCTCGGAGGGTCCGAGGTGCCAAATTTATCGTTTTTCCTATCGAAATTGACGCGGGTCCAGGGACGTGGGGCGGAACGAAACGGTTTCGGCGAACCGGCGCTTATCCCGTGTTAGTTTTCCAACTTGTGATTAGGTAAGATAAAATTACAAGTCCTCCAGCTAAACGTGCTCAATCTTTGCACTTGAGCTTGAAAACTTCCTTAAAGTTCCTCCGCTCTTCGACTTAAAAGCTGCGATAGCGTCACATATTTCAATCCCGCCCCCGCACCGGGACTCAGGGGCTTTCTTCCGAGTCACATTCTTTCTGCCATCACTTTCGCATCGAAACTAAAAATGGCGGTAACGGTGTCTCTGCGGGGAGAATTGTTGCACGGACATTGCGGAGAGGAAAATTTCCATTAAATGGCTGTTTTTTTCATAAAATGAGCTAGACAGCCGTGCTACGGAAGAACGCCGTAAGAACCTTCAGGCGTTACCGAATTTCCTTTGATAAAACACGAAATTCTTGGTCAACTTATGAATATTTTGCCTCCAATTTATCAGGTAATTTTTCTAGCAATTCCACCGATAAGTCTTGAAAATTTCAAGGGAAAATATTCGTTAGTTTCCTCGAAAACGAAAATTTTATTGAATGAAATTTGTCATAACTCTCGAATGTTTAGGGGACGTTCTTCCTTAACACGGCAGTAGAGGCGGGTTCACCGAGAAAAAAACACGGTTATTCTACGGTTACGGTAGTAATGTCACACGGGATTCCACGGTAGTGAAACCGTGGACTTTCATTATTGATGAACATAGTATAGCATAACCATGCTCACAGTAGCATTATTGTGCTTACAGTAATATCGTAGTGAACATGGTAACATAACCATGCTCATCTTTACAATCTTTAAGACCCACGGTTCTACTACCGTGGAATCCCGTGTGACATCACTACCATGGTAATCGCAGAATAACCGTGTTTTTTTTCTTCGTGTGGGAAATATGGGGTGTGCTCTAGAAGGTTTCATAAGAAACGATGTAAAAGTGGACATGATTCTTTTTGTGTAAATGGAAGGGATTTTACATCAATTCAAACGGAACTAAGTACCAAAATATGCATGCAGCACTCATGAGCTGTGGGAATGTGACAAGAACGTTAGGGACGAGGCTCCTGAATTAACTCGGTGGGGTTGGTTAACTCCAGATCCCACTTAGTTCGGTGGGTTAACAACCACCAAACTAGGTGGGATCTGGAATCCACTATGAGAATTTTAAGAGTACCTATCGATTCTTTTATCTTCGTGCATTAATTACAATTGAGAAGCGTGGAGGACAAGAAGCATAAGTTCAGTTATTGCTATTTCGTGGAATACGTGTTTGAAGTTTCCTTCCTTAGTTTGAAAATTGGATCCTTATGAAGGAAAGAAAGTTCAAACTGACTTTTTAATGCTTAAAAATTGGAATTTGGAGGCGGATTTTTCACAGAATATGCATTATGACTAGTTTTACTTGAAATCATTAATATCTCAATTTTTTCAAAATCTGCCCTTATGCGCCTTGTTCTCCAAGCCCTTCATAGGTATCTATCATTGCTTTTTACGGCAAAATTCCGACGTTCAGAAGCAGTGTTCGAAACTCACAGGCGCCAACGCGCCAAATGCGCCTAAAAAATCGGCCATGGCTTCTAAAAATGAAGGCTCTGCGCCAACGTGGCCCCTAAAAATTGCCCCCTAAAAATATGAATTTTCATATTCGGTGATTATTCGAAATTTTCAGCACTACGAGTGAAAGCTTTTTCTATTTTTCACGATTTCGCCCTTTGTAGTGCTTTTGTCTTCCCCAAATTACAGCTTCTTACTAGCTCTGTAACGAAACATCCTGCGTCTAACTTTTCATTAAATGCGCCGTAATATATAGGCAAAAAGTCAATTTGGCCCCTAAAAAATCTTCAATGGCGCCTAAAAATCGGGCTTGATGCGCCACATGGCTCCTAAAACTCAAAGGTGAGTTTCGAATACTATCCAGAAGGTTTCTGAGTGGCGTCGATCCTCGCCGGGCCAAGGATTGATGCGGAACGTACCCACCCGGATATAGAAAACGTTTTTTTAATATAAAATCAGATCTTTGAAAACAGACGAGGGAATAAACATCGTTGGGGCGGATCGCTATTGAGAATATGATGCCCGTGTTTATTTTACCATTAGTCATGAGCGTATGAATACGAAGGCGTTAGTCCCTCCTTTCTTTCCGCGGGAGTTCTTTCTGGCACCATTCATCAGTGGCGCGGCGTGCCTTGCGATGTATCGATTGATGTGGCATATAAACCTATGGTAAACGATCGATAAAGAGGGTGTTCGCAACGAACATCTTAATAATCGATTCTTTACCATAGCTTCAAATGGGGTAATATCGATAATCGATCATTCAGGCCTCGCCATTCTCCCTCCGACGGGGTATTCAATCCAATAAATCACAGCACCAGAGACAGGTTCCGACTCCTGCCGAGTATCCTAGTAGATTCATTATGTAACACTCCTCCAATCTTTGAACTTTCCCTGGAAATTTTTCCGATACGACTTCGCGGCTTCCGTTTCGATAAGTATTCTTCACCGGCGGTAAAAAACGAGCGTCACTTTAGATGCTTGGTCATGGTCGTGGAATTGGGAAGAAAGGACTGTGCAACGCATAATGGATCGAGTCAATAGGACAGGTCAGAAAAAATGTGGAAACTTTAAACGCTTGTAACTCCGTTTATACAAAACTTTAAGGTTTTAAAAGTGGTTCCATTGGTTTTCTCAGGAAACTTGCTTCCAGGAGCACCCCTTAATATTTAAAATGTGACAAAATAAACGTGAAACTTTGCCGTTTTAGTCAAAAATTGCGTGTCCGACCTCTATAATTGACTCGATCCACTGTGCGACGATGAAACAGCAATAATGCGTATCTCGGTTGCGATGTCGAAATCGCAGCTACTATTTGCCTACGAAAACACTTCCTTTGCGTTTATTTAGTTGCACTTTCGGAGAAGGAACTGTGGGTTTTGTATAAGTGCTAATATTTTAGTGAACCCTAGAAAATGCATTATTTCCGGGTTATGGCGATATAATTTATCCTCATATTATTGAAAGAGTGCAGTGGGGTGGGGGTTGTGATTTTCCTTAGAGTCCTTTTATACTGAGAGTAAAGACAGTGCGAATTCATTTCTGATCGGTTCCCATTTTTTAGGCCTTCGCAGTTCCACAAACGGGAATAAAGATTACAGTTTTGCCAATTGCAAAGATTATAAACTGGAATGGACCGAGGAATAGGAGATACGGCGAAGAACAAATGAAATGAGAGTGGAAATGGAGACAGAAAATCGGGAATGGGTTGATCGAAGATTACAGCAAACGTCCGATTTGTGTAATCTTCCTTCCCGTTCGTGACATCCACAAGCCGCGTTGTCTCAACTCTCCCTATTAAGGGAACCTAATTTTCCATGATTATAACTTTTTTAAATAAGTATATTTAGACCTTCCTCCGCAAGTTCACATCACGCCCTCACTAACGCGGATATTTTTACGGATAAGCACTGCAGCAGGATAAAAGCGTTGTATTAAGTATTCTGCCGTGGTATTTGACGAACATCAGACCTGATACTGCAATGAAAAGTTTTAACTCAACTTCTGCGCTTAATTTTGCCGGGAGTGGCAGCAAAATATATGACCATTTTATCTGTGAATATGTACGTGCGTTTTAGGGATTAGCAAACTCACTAATTTATCTGCATGAAATATGTATCTCTCGCCTTAAATAAAAAGAGTATGCAACTAGCAACTTTTTACAGGATTGGACTAATTACAAAGCTTGAACAGAGCTGTCTACTGCCGTTGTATGACTTTTTCAAAATTAAAAATGAAACATTGACGATGAGCTCAAATAAGTAAACTTAAATATGTGCATGTATATGCACAGGTTTATAGTCCGCTCATTAGTTAACTGACACCCAAGGGAGTTGCATCGGGAGGAGATGAGAGGGGTAAAGGGGAAGAGGGAATGATAGCGGAGAGGGTGGAGAGATAAGGGATGGAGTGGGGAAACAGGGAGGGGGGATTTTGCGGACTTACCCAGCACCTTTCATGAAAACATTGCACGCGTGTTTTAATTACCATACCGTGGTCCAGTAACAACTTTGGCATTCACAGAACTTACCGTGGTGGTAACTCGCGTAGAATTTTAATACGCTGAAAGAAAAACTGCTCACAAGTGGGAGCTCGGAGTAGCAAAATGCAAAGCTGAACTCACTGTCTCGCTTTTTGCGTCTCCAGTAACTGCAAAAAGCTACGCCGAAAAAAATTCTGGGGATTTCAATGAGGAATAGTTTTTAATTTTTAGCGGAGGGTCTGGAAACGACCCAAGTTTTACCTCTTTGCCAATCAATTTTCCAAAAAATCGAGATGAACCTCGAAATTATTTTGAAAAATGTATGGACGACAGGAAAAAAGACTTAAGTCATTTTCGGATCGAGCAGCAAAACATTCAAAGGAAAACATGTCTCTCATGATTTTGTTTGCAACTCTGAGTCTTTTTTCACTAATACTCCCAATGGGTTGATCCGAAAATCAAAACTAGGCAGTTGTGAAAACGCCTTCAATTGTGATGTGATACCTCACGCATTCCGGAGAGCACGAATAGTTGTATCGTTGCGCCTTAGCATTGAGACGGAGGATTAAACTTGTCCACGCAGTATTTAATCGTGGTTTTTAGGAGGTTACTGTTTTAGTATACATGCTTTCTATTCAAATTGGCGATTATCTATGGCCATATATGATTATCTATCATGGGTTTTCTCCTTACAGACGTAGAATTGAACTATTTATGCTATAAGGAACTATGTTACTGTTACACGCAAACACTATGCAAATAAATTCGTATTTTTCTTCGTCATTCTTCAGGCATGAATTCGTCTAATTTGCTGTTTGGGAAATTACATTCCAATATAGTAGACCAACTGCGCGAGTGCGTTTTTGATCCGGTTGGATAGTGTTGCGTTCTAACTTTATTAATTGTATTTATTTTTTCTGATGTAACTTTCGGAAAAAATTAAATATTGATGATTTTACTTAATTTTGAAACTTGGGTTAAGAATTCCACATCCTTTATCTCTAAACATTTGGAGGTCGATGTGTATAACGCTTACGTGTAACAACCTACGTCTGTAGAAAATTGTACAGATTCCATGATAATAACAGGGATGAAAGCCAAATAAAACATTGGAAAGCAAATTTCAATCATCTTAAAGACTATATTTAAAAAAAAATTCTGTGTTCAGATTTTTCAATGTCAAAATAATTTTCCAATTTAGTGCGATTTGACGAAGCTAGCTATTTGACAAAGTTTGTATTGATCTCATGTTTCAGAGAAAATCAAACGTGCTCCGATGAAAACTCAGGCTACTCAAACTGAAGCTTGTCTAGGACGAAAACCTCGACCTGCTTCTCATCTTATGCTTAGTCCAAGATTAGTGCAACGGGTAAGTAAAGACCCTTTCGTTGGCATCACGGTATTAGCAAAACAACCCTCTCCCTACCCGCCATCCCTTTTTCTCTGATCCACCTCTTTCCTTTCGACCATCTCCATTCCTCGACGAATACTGCCGTGCTAAGGAAGAACGCCGTATCAACATTCGAGAATTGCCAGATTACCTTCGATAAAATGTTTATTATTGAGGAAATACATGAACGTGTTTCCTTGAAATTTTCAGGAACTTGAGTTTAAATTGTGAGCAAGATTATCTGAAAAATTAGAAGAAAAATATGCATAAGTTAGCAGGAAATTGGCGTTTTATCAAAGAAAATTTGGCAACGTATGAAGGTTCATACGGCGTTTTTCCTTAGCACGGTAGAATAGTGCTCCTCATCACGACACCTAAATTTCAATTTAAAATTTTTTACATATGTGATCGTCCATGCAGAGGCGTGCCATTAGAGTTTACAATGTCTTCGTGGAATTTTCGTTCTCCGCAATCATGTAGGTTTTGCTCGGTGGACCTCGCAGCCATCGAACGAATAGAACTCTACTCAAAAAATATCCGACTAGTTCTGTGATAGTCTGTGGTAACACAACCTCAAGTTGATGAAAAAAAACGAACTTGCACCCTAAAAAATGAAAATTAAGGTATTGGTAAGAATTTTATTGGCACTTAGTGACCCTAAATTGGCAGACTGGCATCCAATAAGAGACGATTTGTTTTATCACCTTTAAAGTATAGGGTTCCACGCGGCGTGTAATTAGAATTAGGCACGACTCTTGTTTCCTAGATGACTGGGCCGCGGACACTTAGACACTCCAAATGGGTGTGATCCGGATATCAAAACTAGACAGTTGTGAAAACGCCTTCAATTGTGACGTAATACCTCACGCATTCCGGAGAGCACGAATAGTTGTATCGTTGCGCCTTAGCAACGAGACGGAAGATTAAACTTGAAGTAACCCTTGAAGCTATGAGCTTGACGGGGTTCCTTTGATATGTTTGTGGTTGTGGTTGCATCTTTAGAGTGTGCTTAAGCTAAGATTTTATTTAGCCGATGGAATATTTTTATACGAGGATTAAAAATAAACAAGTGTTAAGGAATAAAACGGAATAGAAAAAGATCAAATGGATCGCATTTTGCAAAAAGGAACCACTAGCATTTCAATGTTGCTAAGATTGTGCAACTTCTTTTGTCTTGGAGGAAAACCCCGATTAACCATTAATAGTTTCCATTTTACCCGCTAAAAACTGTAAATTTAAGACAAAAATTACCATCTAAATTTCATAGTATTTCACGATTTACGCAATTTTATTGCAAAAGATGAGGTTGCACAATCTTAGCATCATTGCAATGCTAGTGGTTCCTTTTTGCAAAATGCAATCCAAATCAACAATATAAATTACAAGGAAGTGCCGTAAAAATATGTAAAAAAAAGCTTATTATAACTAAAACACATCACGTGCATTTCTCGCAAATTACACGCTCATTCTCAATTGAAACAAAAACTGTAAAATAATTATAACTAGCAGATGTTCTCAAAACTGTTGCGTTAGCTCGTAAGATCAGTCTTTCCATTTATCTTGAACTTTTTCCGACGCGACAATTCCGTCATCGAAACTTGGCAGTTGTGAAAACGCCTTCAATTACGGCGTGATACCCCACGCATTCTGGAGAGTTCGAATAATTGTATCTCTGCGCCTTAGCAATGCGCGACGGAAGAGCTGGTAAGATCAATGATTAAAACCGCCTCATGGTGCATGCGTCACCCGCGTTTTTTTCTTACCGATCACTCACTTCCAATCATAACAAATCATAAGGCTTCCAACAATGCGTTTGTCAATCTTACTCGCCGGCAACATCCAACTGCGAAATCCAAGCTCGGCGGCGCACACTGGACCTAGTCAATGGGAGAAGTCGGACAAAATTTAGAAACTTTAAAAGCTCATAACCCCGTTTATACAAAACTTTGAGGTTCTAAAAGTGGCTCCATCGGTTTTTTCGTACAATTTTCTGCTGAAGGCGCACCTTAAAATTTAAAATGTGCCGGAATAAACATCAAAACTGGCAATTTCTGTCAAAATTTTCCTCTCAGATGGACTCGTTCCACCGTGCGACGGCGAAAGAGCGACGAACAACCGAGCTCGCGGCGAATAGTTTCGCGAGATGCCCGCACCCGCGTGTCGACGAGCTTTTGTGTAAGGCGAGCATGAAAGGAGCCAACGGGTTCGAAGCTCGCCCGGTCTCCAATAAAAAACTATTGACTTTCCCTTTTTTCCCTCCGGAAATCGGGCGCTTGCTCTTCGATTAACAGGACTCCCTCCCCCGCCCCACCGCCGGCACCCCGGCCTCCTCGGGCACCTCGGAAAATATAGAGCAGGATCTCAGATGGAACAAAGACGAGGACAAAAGTGGTCGACGTCTCTTCTGTTGAGCAATTTTGTCTAACTTTGTTATTTACCCCCCCCCCCCCCCCCNTCCGCCCCCGCTCGGCCGAATCTTCGCGCTACTCTTGTCCCGGTAATATCGGCCCTGCCGTCTCCATCTTTTCCGTTCGATAACTGGTTCGCGTCACCGGTTACACCGTACACATCCTTTTTAATCGATCCCCAGCCGGGGAGTAGACTGAACATGTGGTGACACGAAAGAAATTGTATCAATCCTCGCTTCCCAGCGGTTTCCTCTTCCGCGTGTTGTCACATTTCTTTGGCGCCTTTTTTTGTCGAATAATAATGGCAAAGTTTTTATTTGTCGTCCGCGGTGGAAAATCCGGATAAGAACTGTGACGATTTCTCACTGAAATATAAGGGAAAGCACAGTGTTCCCATTCCATGTCCGTCAAAACTTTAAGGATTCGGAACTTTCTTGTTCCAATTTCTCTAACTCTGTGGCCGTCAAAAGTTCCGGGATTCTTTACAGATTTTTTAAAAAATTCCGAGAAAGTTCCGGGAAATGCAAAAGATCCGGAACATATTGGAAATTTCAAAAGTTCTGGGAAAATTTCAGGAAAACCTCAAAAGTTCCGAAATTCGGCACTATTCGCGGAAAATGGGAGCACTGGGAAAGCAGACTTGACACGAAGGGTGTGTCGAGGTACATATCGACGGCGTAAGTTGGCAATCACATAGCTCGGTTTGCGACGTCGCAGGCTTCCTGTCATAATTTTTTAAACGGAAAACTACTCAACAGCAATTCTTTAAAACTGCCTTGATTTTTCTTCTCTGTGCCAAGTAAATTCTGCAAAAACTTCAAAGAATGATGTCAATTTATTCTCCTTTAAAAAAATAACATAGAGGCAGAGATTTCCAGACACCGCAAACGAGGTATGCAATTCCGGACTAACGCCAACGATTTGCTATTCTGAGAGATTTTTTGGATAACCATGAAGAAGCAAACATTTTTTAACACTGTAATCGCGCTGGTTCCTTTTTGCTAAATTCGATCCAATTTTTCATTGATTAAAATCGAAATTCTTAACATGTTCTCTCACTAATACAGGTTCACATGGTATCGCAAGGTGCACAGACGAACGGACAGCTAAACGGAGATCGAGGAGTCGGGAGGCGACTTCTGAAAAGTTACTCGGAGGTCGGCGGTCGCTTCAGCCTGACGGAATCCAAGCAAGAGTTGCACGAGCCACTTCAGCGCACTCAGTCGGAGGAACCGCCTAAGTAAGTTTCAAAGGAAAAGCAAGCGTCAACTCTTGATATGACTATTCAGCGTCAAACTGTCCAGTCCTTTATATCTTAACATACTGACCTACTTGTCGAACAAGTGCGGTCTTGTTTCTTTGAACACCCATCATGAGCTCAAATTAACTTTTTCCTCTCTCTTAATTTACAAGAAAGAGGAGGAATAAGGACCGTTCGTAGATTTGTTGGGTCATTTTTCCTGAGACATTGAAAACTTGTGAGCCCTTCCCCGTACATTTTCAAAATTTACCTAGGCAATTTACTATACTATTTACTACTACTACTATTACTACTTTTACTACTACTTACTACTACTTTACTTTTATACTATTTACTATTTTATTCACTATTTTAGGTATTTTACTATTTACCTAGGCAATTGATAAAATGCCTGATTTGACTTATTTCCTGGGACAGGACAGATATAAACCCTTAAACCAGCAAAAAAGTACATAAAAATTGTACACTGAAAAAAAAAAAAGTATCACAATCTCAACTATACTTCAAGCTGATTTTGGCGCCAGCTTGTAGTTGCACTATCTAGAATTGTAAAGGCACCAGCCAGTGGTATAGTTAATCCAACCACACTCATTCTGAATGTAAGGGCACCACCTAGAGGTATAGTCAACCATACTGCCGTGCTGAAGAAGAACGCCGTATGCACCTTCAGGCGTTGCCAAATTGCCTTTGATAACACGGCTTTTCTAGTAAACTTATGAATATTTTTCTTCCGATTTTTTAGATAATTTTATTCGCAATTTCACCCAAAGTGCCTGAAAATTTCAGGGTAAAATATTCATAAATTTCCTCGAAAATAAGCATTTAATACAAGGAAATTTGGTAACTCTCGAATGTTCATACGGCGTTCTTCCTTATCATGGCAGCATACCTCTAGCTGGTGCCCTTGATCAACACTTACAGCTGACCTAACCATACCTCTGGCTTATCCAACTACCCTAATATCTGGCGCCGAAATCAGCTAAAAGTATAGTTGTGATTGTGATACTTTTTCCCGTGTAACCAGATACTACAATATGGACGATTTTCCTTGTTTCCAGGTCACCTTACACGATGGACGACGACACGATGGGGCCGGAGATCTTCATCGACTTCGAGCCGCAGGAGACGCGGCGGCGGCGCGGGCTGGAGAAGACCCTGTCGGAGGGACAGATCCTCGGGGAGAAGCCGAGCAAGCCCGAGCGGGAGACGACCATGTCCGACGGGGAGTTCCGCTACGAGGAGACCGAGACGGAAACGGAAACGGACCCCGAGCTGGAACCGGAAACCGGGGTCGGATCGCGACTCGGCCCGGATCGAGTCCTCGAGGAGGTCGCCCACAAGCTGGAGATGTCGCCGTCCAACAGCTCCAATCTGAATCAGGATCAGTCCGTCTCCTCCGCCCCGACCAAGAGACTCGTGAGTCACTCATTGGACTATCATCGGATTAGAGACGAACACTGGAAAAAAAAGAAACACATTGGATCTAGAGTCCAGACTCTTGAAAACATTGACAAGAAAAAGGACTCTTGATTTAATCAGATTTAAGCTTATATCAAAAAGAAATCCGCTCAAATTAAGAGGCTTGGTTCTTGATTTCAGCTTAAATCTGATTGAATCAAGAGTATTTTTTTTTGTCGGTGTTTTGAAGAGTCTGGACTCTAGATCCAATGTGGTTTTTTTCCAGCGAAATGAGGGGCTTGGAGGACAAAGCGCATAAGTGCAGTTTTTGAAAAAGTTGAGATTTTAATGATTTCAAGTAAAACCAGCCTCAATGCGTATACTGAGAAAGGTTCGCTCCCAAATTCCAATTTTTAAGCATTAAAAAGTCAGTTTGAACTTCCTTTCCGCCACGAGGATCCATATAATTTCGAAACTTCATACATGTACACGGAGAAAAAAACTTCGTGCATGGAACCCGAAGTTTAGGTCATATGGATCTCTGAAGTTTTCGAATTGAGCATCTGAACACCTCAGGTCTAGCTGTCGAGGTTCGGATCACACATCTGAAACTTCAGCTCTTACATCTGAAGTACTTCAGATGTGAGAACCGAAGTTTTCTGGATGTGAGAACCGAAGTTTTCCGGATGTGAGAACCGAAGTTTTCCGGATGTGAGAACCGAAGTTTTCCGGATGTGAGAACCGAAGTTTTTCGGATGTGAAAACCAAAGTACTTCAGATGTAAGAACTGAAGTTTCAGATGTGTGATCCAAACCTCAGCAGCTGGACGTAAAGTGTTCAGATGCTCAATCCGAAAACTTCAGAGATCCATATGACCTAAACTTCGGGTCCCACGCACGAAGTTTTTTTCTCCGTGTAGAGACGAAACGAGGGGCTTGGAGGACAAAGCGCATAAGTGCAGTTTTTGAAAAAATTGAGGTTTTAATGAGTTCAAGTAAAACCAGCCTTAAGGCATATTCTGAGAAAGGTTCGCTCCCTAATTCCAATTTTTAAGCATTAAAAAGTCAGTTTGAACTTTCTTTCCGCCATAAGGATCCATATAATTTCGAAACTTCATACATGTATACCTCGAAATACCGAGAACTTCTCTTGTGCGCCTTGTCCTTCAAGCCTCTCAAATATTGAAGAAATCCTCCGGGCTGATTGTTGGAATTGACAGCCAGGAGTGATAGACAAAGAAGACATAAGGAGTGTGGAGCGATCCTGTTGGTTGAAATGAGTGGTTGTTATAGACTAAGGTGGAAAATGATGGTGTCGTATCCGGCTATTTTTATCTGGTAGACAATCTGAAATAATCAAACCATGATTTTGGGGCCAGCCTAATAGACCCATTGGAGGCAATCTTAACCTAATTTGGAAGAACTCGCCTGAAGAAGTGCTCACATTGACAGTCTTCAGTCATCACGGCAAATGTTCTGCTCATTGAGTTGCTCATCTGCACATCAATCGTCATCAGGCGATAAACAATGTTGACCTCCGATTTTGACTTTAAACTCACCCAATTACTTGGCTTAGATCGTTAGTGCGGGGTCTCAAAAAATATTGTCTCTCGATAAAATACGTTTCATGTTTTTCCCTGTATTTTTCCTCGTTTTAGAAGTTTTTATTTATTTTTAATATTTATGACCGTCCACGAGGAAGGAGACCTCAGTTTACAAAGGCAAAGTTTTCAGCAGAGCAACTCGGTCGGGGTGAATAAAAAAATCGGACTTTTAGATGTCAGCGGAAAACTTTCTCGAGTGTCCTCAAGATTTAAATGCCAGCGGTTTAGTTTATTTTTGTGCCAGTACAGGGCGTAAAATCGCACTGTAATTCGGCATTTTCGAGTTCTGAACATCACAGAGTAGAATGTTACATATCTTTTTCTCAGAACTACGTTTTCTTAACTGGAAAATCACGATCATCCCGGTATACTATGACATTTCTTAATTTTCTTGTTCAACATGTATGGAAGATATTTTTTTGTTTTCAGATTCTTTTTCATAAAGTTATTAAAGTAACAAAAACAGCTACTTATTTATTTTTTAATCCTTAATCGATCATAATATTGGAAGAATTTCCATATTTAGAAACACTGATAAAAAGACAATGATCCTAATAACCTCAGACGTGATGTTCTCAGCGAACTTTTGATTATGGACGATGAAAAGTGTTATTCATTTGGTTATGGTGCCTTTTGTTTATTCTATTTTATTATTTATTTTGTTTTGATAAGTTGGTCGTTTTTTTTTTAAATAAAGCATTTCGTATTTTTCAAATGAATTAAATAAAGTCCAACCTCTCATATCGTATTCTATCTCAAAGCCGCGCACACGGAAAATCAAAACCCCTTCATTTTTTTGCACGCAACAAGGACATCTACTGGACATTAATATTTGTGTCCTATCAAGGCGTTTTATACTGAATGAATACAGGAGGAAAAACGTCGTGTGGATCTACAGGCGTTGCCAAATTTCCTTTTGGTAAATCACGAAGTCTTTGGAAAATTCGTAAATATTTTTCCTCCAAATTTTCGGATTATTGTGTTCGCAATTTCACTTAAAGTTCCTGAAAATTTCAAGGAAAAATGTGCAAACTTTTCCTCAAATTAAAAACTTCATCGAACGAAATTTGATAACCCTTGAATGTTCGCACGGGGTATTTCCTTAGCACGGCCGATTAGACATCGTATTTGTATGAAAAATGTTCGGGATCCTATTCTCCCCAACCTCCAAAAGCGCTGCGTTGGAGGTGGGCCCCAATTGTGGGAACGGGTATCTTTCGGAGAATTTCCTGCAGTTCACTTCCCAGAGAAACATCGATGAAACAGACGTGCTCGCATCGTAAATATACACGAGCACAATGATCACTCAGTCACTCACACTTTGAAAACCAAATGGGAAAGTTTCCGGGAATCCTCGTCCAAGTTGCAGGCACCAACTTTGGCGGGAAGCTCCGATCCCCAGGTAAGGTCGATTATAGGGGATTACAGGTTGCGAGATCCTCCACTCCAAATCGGACGTTCCCTGTATCATTCATCAGTCCCGAATAAAAAGAGCGTAACGGAATTTCGACGTTGCAAATTTTACACTCACAAATCAAACCTTTTTAAGAAAACTGCTCGTCATTTTAAACTCAAAATTTCACTGAATTTTCTTTCGATTGTGTGGAAAAATCAAACAAATTTTGGGCAGAAATTCTGGGGCCGAATTTTGTCGGCTCTTTCACACAAAGTGCAACATCCATCGATGAGTCCAAACCGCACCACCGGCCAATCAGAAGTGCTTAGCCGGACTTAAGTGCAGGCGAGACCCATCCTAATTATATTTAAGTACGGTGGAAGGACCGACAATCCCTGCCGTGCTAAGGAAAAACGCCGTGTGAGCCTTCAGACGTTGCCTTTCCTTCGATAATAGCAGAATTACAGGGAAAATTGTAAATATTTTCCCCCAAAATTTTCAGACAATTTCGTGCGCAATTTAATCGAAAATACCTGAAAATTTCAAGAGAAAACATGCTTAATTTACCTCAAAAATACATGTTTCATCAAGGAAAATTTGGCATTTATCGAATGTTCATACGGCGTTCTTCCTCAGTACGGTAGAATCGCTGTCTTTTCCCTCTTGAAAAAATGTGATTATAAACGTCGATCTTGCAACCTTATAATGGAGTTACGTTCCTCCCTGGGAAAATTCAAATTCTCTGGTACCTTGATATCCACGTGAGTCTTATTTTACATGTATTCCTATGATTTCCGGGGTTCACTCGGAGATGGCCCTTACGCCAGACGAGCGACGTAATGTCCCCGGTCGTTTCACGTTCCAACCCCTTTGATGACGCCAACTTCTCCAACGATTGCGTCAAAGATGCGTATCAGCGAGGAAAAATGGAAATGAGAGGGAGAGCCCGATGCGTTCATCTCATTTGAACAAAGCGTTTTCTTTTCCGCGCTCTTGTCTCTCGTGTATTCATTCGTGACGCGACTCAACTCGTCCTCGCTTTGTTCCCCGCTCTTTTCAGCGCAACTTAACGGATGCAGTTGTATGCAATGCGCTGGTTTTCACCGAAGACGGGAGATGGCGCTGCAACGCTAAGCAAAAACCACCAATCTATGATAGGGTTTCCATTGGATTTCCATGGTTTCTCCTTCGCAAGGCAGCGTTTCGTAAATGAGCCGCTTGAATGCAAGAAACGAGAATGGTCCTTTGAGTTTTTGTCGAGGTACCTCGCCCATATTTGAGCATTCCACGTGGGTTTCGTCATTCTTGACCGTTCCTTAGTTCTTTGACTAGTTTTTTCGTTACGTCATGCAGTAATTGACTATTAAAATTGACTCTGTGATCTGCTACAAATGTAGATTGGTTTACTGGGCCAAAGTTTCCTAAACTTGTGCGACAAATTCAAGGTATAGATATTTAATTGAAGAATCTCGGTAATTTACGCCGTTTTTAGACGTGGAGTTGCAACTAATTCAGAGACGACAGATGTACAGCGGGCTGTTTATTGAAATCGATAGACAAAATTATAGGTAAAGATGACAGGAGGAAAACGGAGTGATCCTATTAGTTGAAACGGATGGTTCTTGTAGACTAATGGGGGAAATAATAGACTGATTGTAGGTCCCTCGTGGGTTGACGTCAGTTAGTCTATTACTTATCTCCTTTATCCATTACAACTACAACCCTCTCCTGATAGGATCACTCCACTTTACCTTTGTCCTCTCTGTATATAGCTTTGTCTATAGATTATATAATCAGCCATCTAACTTGCTGCTTCCAAAAGCTCGCTTCAAGTCATAGAGCGACACTAGGGGTAGTTCCTCAATCATATTTCACTCAGCGTCTCGCAACGTTACAGTTACTGTTCTGCTGAGTGTTACGTAACGATTTCCTGCGATTTTCAAAGTATTCTTTGTCAGTCTGGTGGTCTGGTAAAAAACATTGAATTTGCGTTTAACTCTCCTGAAAGCACTTTGAATCATTGGAATAAACAATGAAAAGCGGAACAATAAAAAATCAGCCCTTTTTGTAAACATCCAAAGAACTTGGAAAACTTATCACACTAACTCTGACTAAAGCAATTTGTGATAAAAGTGCAACTGAAGAAATGAATAATTTTAATCGAAAGACTTTCATAAACCAATGAATATAAAAGAAACTCAAATTCGAAGGGAAAAAAGTAAATGAAATTCGCAGAATAATCATTCAAATCACTCGACGAAATAATCCATTTGAGGAACCCGTAAAGTATTTTGTCTTTGATAGTGGGGATTCAGGTCAAAGTCTAAGCTAAACATAGCACACCAGTGATGGATGTAAAAGCTCTATTAAAACTGTAGACTTCCCAAGAATATGACAACGTTGTTTTGTACGGAGATGAACCGTGCGCTGCATATTATTTGAATACACAGTGCGCCAATTATGCATTCGTAATGATAAAAGTTGGTTGATTTATTGATTCCCTTCTCTTTAACCCCTTGAAACTCTAGTCTATTGTTTGACGTAGTTATGCAGCAATCTGTCGGCAAACCATTGGGGATCGTGAAGAGGATCAGATTTATTCTTCGTGTAGTTTTTCTCTCTCTCTCTCTTTTCCTTTTTTTTTCTCAACTCTTTGTGGCTTTTCATCTCGGTTTTGGTATTTTATTCGCAAACCGTAATCCTCAAATGGTAATGGCAAAGTTTAATCATGCGATCTCATGGACCCAAGGGATGGGAATAGATGATAGTTTTGTTCTGTTTCTTATATTTTTTCATCGAGATTTGTGGTCTAAGTAGACGTTTTACACATATTCATGTGGCTTATATTCTCGGCCAGAATTTACAATAGCGAGGATACGGACATTTTTCCTTCACTCGGGGAGTTAATGATTTTGGTGCAGGGAGCAACAAATTATAGGTTTATTATGCATTATAACTCCTGATCACGTACGTCTTTTTTGACAAAATGAGCGAAATGGAATTGGAGGAACAATTCGTCGTTTGAAAAACAAAGTTCAATTTTGTGCTTAGAGGTCGAAATTTCTCTCCAAAGTATGGATTTCCTGGGAAACTGGTGTATGGTAGCAAATTTCATTTTCCGATCCAGAAACCAGAAAATTTTAGAAATGCATATGCTTAATGTCGAAGTAAACAGTTGGGATTAAGTAAAAATGTTTGGTCTTGATCCTGTTTAGTTATATATATTAATCGCTTTTTGTCCACTCTTCTCAAGCGTTAGGAAGCTGAAAAACACGCCATGATCGTGCGTCCGGAAAATTCTTTGTCGTGAACGCGTTGTGTTTCTCTTTTTTTATACGAAGAGAACTAACGACTCGATGACGGTGATAATGAAGTTAATTTCAGCGAGCAAAAACGTTTGCCACATCGTCAGCTAGCAGCAAAGAAAAAGTCTCCCTTTGAGCTGGAATAATTGCATGTTGCATCAGGTGTTTCTACCAAACTTGCACTTTTGAGTTCGATGGCTGAGAGGCAAGGCGTGTGCGCCTTCCATTATTTTGTGTATGCAATATGGTCATCCATCGAGTGCGAATAGTTGCATCCAGAGGTTGGCACTAACGTTTTCGCAATCGAGCGATTTTCACACAATAAACGGACGGTCTTTACCAAATTCAGCCTAATAACCGTCAGATGTTATATAAGATCCTTCCGTGTTATATTTTTTATTTGATAGATATTCAGCAATATTCTTGGGATGATTTATGTTCTCTCACTTAGGGAGAGCACTAGTGTAGATTCTTTTGATTCCAGAGGATTTTCTTTCCTTTGTGATGTGAAAACAACTTTCTGAAATTTCCAAAAGAATCCGTACAAACGTTCTCCTGGGGGAAAAAAAACTGTTCGATGAAATTTAGCAATGACTGATGTGACTCACCTTCTTTCTGCTCAACGCGGTCCAATTATGAGGGTCACCTTGATCGCAGACGACAGGGCGCCTTCAATATTTTGTGTATGCAAAATGACTATCATTGAAGTCCGAATGCAGGAGATTAGTAGAACTTGGAAATCTTTCTGAATACACTTTCGTCTGATTGTAATGGTCTTTTTAAATGGTTTTACAATGGGCATGCCAAAAACGACAATTCATTATGAGCGTAACGTTGATTGCAAAAGGTAATGCGCCCTCTCCTTTTTGTGTATGAAAATTGGTCATATATAAAACCCGAAAAGTAGTATGCAGTTAAACTTGCACTTTTGGGTTCCTTGGCTATGAGGTAAAACGAGTGCGCCTTCAATTATTTTGTGTATGCAAAACGGTCAACGATCGAGTGCGAATAGTTGCTTGCTGTAGAATACGAGAACTTGAAAATCCATCTCAATTAATTTCCGTTTGCTTGTAGTGGTATTATAAATGAGTACTTCAAAAACGAAAATACAATATGAGCACAACGTCGATTGCAAACGATATTGCACGGAGAAAAAACCTCGTGCGTGGGACCCGAAGTTTAGGTCACATGGATCTTTGAAGTTTTCAGATTGAGCATCTAAACACTTCAGATCTAGCTGTCAAGGTTCGGATCACACATCTGAAACTTCAGTTCTTACATCTGAAATACTTCAGATGTGAAAACCGAAGTTTTTCGGATGTGAGAACCGAAGTTTTTCGGATGTGAGAACCGAAGTACTTTAGATGTAAGAACTGAGGTTTCAGATGTGTGATCCGAACCTCGACAGCTAGACCTAAAGTGTTCAGATGCTCAATCCGAAAACTTCAGAGATCCATATGACCTAAACTTCGGGTCCCATGCACGAAATTTTTTTTCTCCGTGTGCACCTTCTATTTTTCGTGTATGCAAAACGGTCATCTATCGATTGCGAATAGTTGCTTGTCGTGGAATAGGAGAACTTGAAATCTTTCTCAATTAATTTCCATTTGATTGTAGTGTCTTTTTAATGGTTTTACAATGGGCAGGCCGAAAACGACAATTATGAGCGTCGGGTTGATTGCAGATGATGGCGGATTCGCTGGAAGAGGAGTTCCACGAGAATTTGATTTACGGCGGGCTATTCATGAAGCGGGAGGTCTCGTCCGGGGATCGGGAGCGGTTGGAGGAGCTGGAGCTGGAGATGGAGCCTGATAAATTGTCCCCGGCGGCGACCGGGAGCGGGGTCTCCGGCGGATTAAAAGCCTCATCACCATTCGTCTCCAGCGACTCACTTAAAGACCACAGCGACAGCATCTGGAACGAGTCGCAAACTACGGTAATCCTCCTTTTATTCAAACCAAAGCCACCATCGAACGCACCCTCCAAATTCTGATCGCTCGACCTTCTTCTCGGAGGTGACGGGCCTGGACTCCTGCGCCACAGAGAGCACGGCTTCACTGTCGTGCTTACACTGAAAAAAATGGTATGCTTTTTTAGCAACCAGGATGTCAAAAATGTGTCCGGTGATCCTACGATGCTGCCTTGATTGCCCTCGCAGTTGAATTAGCATTCTCAGGATGTTATGTTAACTGCGAGGGCAGTAAAGGCAGCATATTGGGATCACCAGACACATTTTTGACATTCTAGGTGCTAAAACAGTATATTACTTTTTTCGGTGTAGGAAAAACACCGTATGGACATTCGAGAGTTTCCGAATTTCCTTCGATAAAATGTTTATTTTTGAGGAAAGTCATGAATATTTTTGGAGACATTTTCAAGAATTTTAGGTAAAATTGTAAACGAAGTTATCTGAAAAATTGGAAGAAAAATATTCACAATCTTTTCCAAAAATTCGTTTTTACCAAAGGCAATTTGGCAACGCCTAAAGGTTCATACGACGTTCTTCCTTAGCACGGCAGTATACGCAGTAACGACCGAATTTCTGAGATCGATTTGTCTTCTAGATTTGAATGATTTAACTCTAGTTTGATTAACTCAGATCCCAAAACTCCTAACATGTGTTAGATGAGGGGTCATTATAAATATCAGAGGTAGGAGAGGAGAAAATAAAGAATAATTAAAGGGGGTAGGATGCAGAAGAACATGACAAGCAAAGGTAAAGACTGGAGAGGGAAGAGAAAAAAGAAGAGACAGAGGCCAAATTATACAATTTTCCTTCATTCATCTCCAACTTCTTCTTCTTCTTCTTCTTCTTCTTCCACTTTTTTTCTCTCGTCCGCTTTCCAGGAATCTTGTCTTTCTTTCTTCTTAGTTTTCCTTTTATTATTCTCCTTCTTCTTCCTAATCTACTAACTTCTTCTCCTATTTTTTCCTCTTTTTCACTCACTCACTCTGATTTTTAATACGTTCCTATCTGACATTTGTTAGGAGTTCTAAATCTGTTATACCAGAGCAGGATTATCGGGGGAGCTGGGGTGCTGTAGCACCCCTGATTTCTTACCCAACGGGCCTCCAGGTGATTTTTTCTTTCTTTTCTTATGACCACTATCTTAGTTCTTCACCGGATCCTCCAGGGGCCCTTGGAGTTTAAAAGACAGATTTAGAAAAGCCTAGAACAGACTGGAATTTTGAGTGTCATGGGGCCCTTTAGTAAATTTTAGAATTTTGGGCTCTAATGACTGGCGTGAAGTGCTAGTGGTTGCATTCCTGGTTCTCTCTCAGGAGTCAGTCTATTTAGTCGCCTTATGACTTATAGAAGAACTGCATTATGTCTTCACTTCTACATAATTGGGTGTATATAAACGGCTCTTTTCTCATGACAGGTGCTGCACGACTCGGATAATAATGGTGGGTGCACGAATGTGAGTTTATCAGACATCAGTTCATCCTTGACTCCAGCCACTCGTAGGAGACATCGACTTATTCTTCAACACCAGCAGCGTTCCTCCATTGACACCGAAGCTCTGGAGACAGAGGATTTCGAATTAGAAAGCAAGGTTAGACTGCGCTTTGTGCGCCATGGATAGTAATATAATCATTAAAGATAATGATGAAGTCGATGTTCTCGTGAAAATTAGGACCAAAAGTGTCTTTGCAGTCGAATTTTTGAGGGGAACATATCAATCGGAAGAATTTTTTAAAAAAATGATGTTGATTAATAGAATAGAAAGAAGCGGCCAAACTTTGGAAAATCTAGAAAAAGACCGATTATGAGGAATAGTATGAATACCCCCTCCCTTGAACGACAGTTACATTTAAAGAGGAATTTATTGAGAGGATAATCATAAAGATCGAGTGATGTCTCAGCTATGACAAAGCTTGTCTGGAGCTTTACCAATGAAATCTCTTATTGTGCAAAAAAAGTCTCTTGTTTTGCGTTCAAATGTCAAGATTTGTTACTTATGTTCTTTCCACAGGTGTGTCAGCCTGTATCAACTTGTATTCAACCAGTCGTGCCTTCTGTTGCCATAACGACACCAACTTATGCACATACTTTAAGCTCTGTTAGTAGTTCTGTCCATTCAAAAAGGTACGCAACTAAAAATTATCATAAGAAATAGTAGATATTCTCAATAAAGCAACGCGATATCCTTATAAGCGTCGACTGATAGCGATCCTGATAGCTGATATGCATTCAACTCGCAACTACTGTGCTAGAATTCTAATGCGTTGCGAAAAGTAGCGTACTAACTCCCCAGTCAGATGGTAAAACCCAAAAAATGATTCCTATATTGACTATAAATTAGCCCATAATGTCTTTGTAAATGCTTTCGTCTCAAAGCACAGTGTGCACTAATAACAATTATCAAAATTACTTATTTCAATAAGATTTGGAACGTAAAATATATTGCAGAGGAAAGTGAAGTCTGAAGAGGTACGCCCTTCTCATTTTTGCACTGAAATGAAGACTTTTCCGACCGAACAACGTACACCCATGTCAATGTTGCTAAGATTGTGCATGCATGCAACTGTTCAGTTGGTAGAGAAATGTAAGCTCTCTGATGAAATTTGCCTCATTTCTTCCTATTTTTATGGATATTTTGGCAGAGAAATTTACTATATGGGTGATTTCAGATACATGTAAAAAAAGGAAGAGTTGCGCAATCGTCAAGTTGTGCAATGTCAGCAACGTTGACATAGTTATAATGCTGTCTGGTCGGAAAGGTCCTTTTATGAACGATGTACATAAAAAAATTCTAGAATTTAACACCTCCAAGGCTATTTTTACGAACTTATTGCTAGTATGTAGGTATAGGAGAAAATTATTCAGTCTCCGGTTTCAATTAACTTGTATTTTATATTTTTAGGCCTAAAGATCAAGGATCTACCTCCAAAAGAAAATCTGTCCAAACACCTAAAGCTTCTGACGGAGACCAGCAAACCCCCCTATCCAGGAGCTCCAGCTCTGGTGAGTGTATTTTTCCACCCGGGTTATTCTTCAAAAAATGTTCAATGGTTTTAAAATACAGACTGCAAGGCGATTTAAGAGACAAATATTTCTTGGGATTGTAAAATTTCAGAAGAAGAGTTCAGGGGTAAAATTTTTCTGATTATTCCGCGGACTTAATTTTTTTGCGATTTTCGTCATTCATAACGTAGTCTTTCTTCTGACGTAAGGACGTATCTTCGATTCCACGTGAGCCCTGTCGTCCATGTAACTTCATGCTTTCTGGGGCTTACGTGGAAATAGAGATACGTCCTCGCGCCAGAGGAGCTATCATAAGAAAATATTTTCCAACCATCAGGACCCCGATCATCGAGATCTTCGCTAGACCTTCGACTATCATCGAAAATTAGAGCCAATACTGAAAATTGGTTTGGCTGTATTTACATTTTTAAGGTTTTTGATTGGGCTATGGCAAAATGTCCCTAAAAACCCATCTACATGGTGGTAATATAGTAATTTTTCTTGAGATTCTCGCCGCTTATGTCCTTCTTTCTGCGGAAGATTCTTGTAATTGCTTCCTACCTTTTTACAGAATTGTTAGACCGCGTAGAGCAGAGCCGCACAAACGATGTTTCAGAGACCTCAACCGTCACTGAAGAATACGCCACTGCCACGGAAAACAATTCGGCGACCCCTTCAGGAAGAGCTTCATTAACAGGTCCCGTCAGCTCAGTTGAGAGCGCCTCATCCAAACACAGTTTATCTCACGATGACGGCTTTAAAGATCAACAACAGGTTTGTTATCACTCCTTAAGAATAGGTATTGCCTAATGTAAGTGATGATAGAGCAAACTAGAGCGAATCATTTAAAGAGTTATAGGCTTTTCCAACTAGCGAGGTTTTTAGGCCCTTCAGAAAAGCGCTCACTTCTCCATGCTCATTAGCCCTCTTAAGTTCAAAGGAAGGTTGTTGAACAGCCTGATGCCAGTATGGGCAGGCGAGCGATTCCAAAATTAATTAAATAATTTGTAACGTTCCTAATAATGTCGGCAGTGATCAAACCGTTGTTATTGGCAAATTTAAGATTGGTAAAATCAATACATGGGTCCTCCAAATAATATGTTTTAAGCCTGATTTCTCTCACACAGGGATCACACCAATTGCCCTCAGCCATTGCAGAAGAGAAACCGAGTCTAGAAGATTCCAAGAGATGCAAATCACCAGACGCCGAAAGTAGTAGCTCTGGAAGGTAAGATATATTTTTCACTTTTGCTCACCTTTACTTGAAATATTTCCTGAATTTCAGCCCAAATTATTGCGTTTCTTTTTTATAAATAAAATTGAAATCCAAAACTGAAAATAATAATTTTCTCTGCTATTAATGAGCTACCTGTTGAGCAGTTTGCCAAGGTAGTTCACAGATCATCCGTTAGTTTACTGAAAAAATTGCTCAACACGCGATTCTACAGTCAGTAGTATGTAGACAATGCCAGCCAGGGTAATAGATCCCCGAGATTAAGAAAATTAAAATTTCCTCCTCTCGAATTTTCCACCCGTCCTTTTTCGCTCTCTTCCCGTCTCCAATCTCAACACGATGTATGATGAGCGGCATTGAGATATGAGAATAGCAATCAAAGTATCTGACGCAAATATTTTTGGTTTTTGTTTCTCTGTTTTGATTTTTAAAAGTTTTCTTAATTTTTATTGTTTCATAGGTTCTTTAATTGTTTACTTTTAACATTTTGCCTACAGTACCATTGATAATTTTTCGTTGATGTTTTTCCGATACTTATAACTGTTTTTATACAAGATAATTCTGCTCCTGTTCCTTGGTTTTTTCTTTTTCATTTTAAAGATAAAAAAATTATTTTAAGTTCCCTCAGAAAACCAATATACCTATAGAAGATTCTCTTCAAACTGAAAAACAATTCCGTATTGGTTGCCGTTCATTCTCAAAATGGTTTGTTCGACGAGCTTACAACGAGCTAAAGAAATCATTCAAACTTCAAAATTTACAACATTGTGTCACTATGATGAGCATTATTTCACATTGATTATAATTATTGTGACATCTCAAAACTGAAACACCGGATATTCTCACCTATGAAATTCCATCCTAAAATAGCATATTGAGCTTTTTAGAATCATTTTACTGGGAGCATAGTTCAAACAAACGTTCAACTCAATGATCACAGAAAGAACAAACTCCTAAACATTATGAAAGTTTTTGTAATGATATGTTGGCATCACGTCTGATTCAGATCTGTGTGGTAAGCTAGTGCCAGAAGATGACGAAATAAATAGAAAAAAAAATGTTAAAAAAAGAGAAATGAATTACTAGAAATTAAAAGAAGCTCGAAGTGGCATTCTATTGATGATCAACATTTAAAAAAAAACCGTAGTTTTCAAAGCAGCAAAAGTATACAGGAATTAAGGCGAGTTTTTAAACAATTAGTTACAGTATCGAAGGTGTAAGCAGTGAGGAGAAATGCATGTCAGACCACTGCTACTCTGCGGCAGATGAATCCGAGCAGCAATCGCCAAAGTAAGTTTTCGAGCATCGTGTTTTTCGTAGCCGAACATGAGACATAGTTTGCGCCTTTAGACTGTTCTTAGAAAAGTTTGAACGATTTCGCAGCAGTAGTGTATCATACCAGACTTTCTGTTTAAAATCATTTCATTTTTGGTCTTGGAGTGTTTTTTAGTGTGATTTAGAGTACCCTCATTGGGAGAGTATAAAATTCAAGAACAATCTACACTAATGAGTCACTGTGCATATTTTTTTTAAATCTCGCACTGGAAAAAAAAACGCATTGGATCTAGAGTCCAGACTCTTGAAAACATTGACAAGAAAAATGACTCTTGATTCAATCAGATTTAAGCTTAAATCAAAAGGAAATCCGCTCAAATTAAGAGGCTTGGTTCTTGATTTAAGCTTAAATCTGATTGAATCAAGAGTATTTTTTCTTGTCGATGTTTTTAAGGGTCTGGACTCTAGATCCAATGTGTTTTTTTCCAGTGCGCTCACCAGCTGGTTTAAGAAGTAGAATTTGCTCATCCCGATGTGATCCCGTAAGAAATGTATTGCATTTAAATCTCCTGCTGTCAGAACTCGTCCATGGGAATCACTGATCTGTGTGGATTGGTCTAGATGGATATACGAGAAAGTCAGAAAATCTATCTGTAGTGATGCCTTTGCGAAAATGTTAGGGTCTGATAGAGCATTCAACCCGTGATTTTTGAATGATTAATTCTTTTTACTGCAGTTATACCGTATAGCCATTCGGATAAGTGCGAGAGCCGAAACCAATTATTTGAGACACTGGTCTGAATTCGCCTCTTTGCATTAAAAATAGGTACTTCCTTGAGTTTTCATGTAATAACCTTGAGAAATTTAGGGAACTCCTTGGGATTCCTGCAAATGGAACGTCGACACTCTTCCAATAATGGTACTCTAGTGTGCAGTGGCGTGGCGTGAATTGCGATATATCGCTTGATATGTAATTTAAACCTATGATAAAGAATCGATTAATAAGATGTTCGCTGCGAAAACCCGTTTATCGATCCTTTTCCATAGGTTTAAACGGCGGATCAAGCTATATACCGCAAAACACGCCACGCCACTGCTAGTGTGATTATTTCTGTGCCTATTAGAAACCCATCAAGGATTACGTATGTGTGACAAGATGCAAGATTGACGTATGTGAATTTATAGAAGAAAAAATGTATTAATCTTGTTTTTTTCTTTCAAAATGTAACTCTTGATTCCTCCCTTCACTGCCGAAGGATTTTTCGAGAAGCGATATTCTTCCCTATCATCTACTCACCACCATCAAAGAAAATTTATCGTGAATGAATGTGGAAATTTAATCGTCGCTTGTTTCATTCATAATCTGCATTAATAAGCCACGAATTAAAATATATTCAAAATTATTAATCTTTAAGAAACAAGAACAACATAACAAGATAATCTCAAATTTTACTCACGCGTATTTATTTTCATCAAAACATCACAGTGTTCTGTTTGATTTTGGTAACTTACTTTGGATAATTTCGTTTGTGGTTTTTCCGCATGTATAGATTCTTACAAATTATTATTATTTCTTTCAGATATCATTTTGTAGTATCTTGTATTAGACATATACAAAACTGATTTTTATTTTTTGTTCTTGTACAAAGTAAAAAAAAATAGGTATAAGTAAGGCTTTTGTCACGTCATCAAAGTAAAAGATTTGATAATGGAAATGGATTGCATGTTTGTCATGAAATGGGCGAAGATTTTAATATTTGTCATCATTATAATTTCGGATGACACTTACCAACTAACAATGGTCTGCTTGATTGTTGTGGTGTTGAGTGTTTTCTTGTTCAAGACTGATTATACTAGAGAGGAAAATCATTCATATTACATGTAATTAGATGCAAATACACATAGCTGAAAACTAGTAGTTCATATTTGACGTTTGTAACATTTGTAAAAAATCGTCTGAGTATTTTGGAGCTTCCCATCTAAAAAAAATAAGGGAATGAAGTGTGAGATGATCCGAGTAAATAAAAATTTGATTGAAGGGGGGGGGGGGTCAAAACGTGAGTGAAAACTTGTGAGTTTTGAGTCTCAAGAGATGTCTTGCTCTGAACGTACGATAGAAATGCATGAAAATAATTTGACCGACGCGCGAGGATTATCAGGGCTAAAAGACTTGATTGGCATTTTTGGAAAATTTGAGGTACAAATTAATAATTTTAAGTAATAGACACCTCTATGCATACGTTGCGTAAAATTGATTATTAACATTTCTACGATATCTATAAGATATCCCCCGTTATTCCCCTGTCCCCTGTCATTAATTTACGACACGTATTATTCGCGTTGTCAAAAGTGACGATTTACACAAATAGAACTACAGTAACATAAGCTTTTATGTAACTCGTGAAGTATTTTTAAAAAACTTCTGTCTAGTTCATCAACTGAGCATTACTTACATGAGAAAAGAATAAATATTTTACAAATAAATAAATGTTTATAAAAATATAAATTTAAATATTAATAATTATACAATTTGATGACTTGAAAATTGCTCACGAGTTTTTATCAAGAATTTAAGAGGCTCATCAAAATTGATAGTTATAAATTTGCGTATTCTTGACTAAATGTGTATTGAAAACTGATGGAAGTTTTCACGGCAATCTGTTAAAATGGAATAAAAAGCCCAAGAAACTGCTGTCGTTCATTGTTACAGAGGCTGGCCTGAGGAAGATGGCAGGAGAAGTAGAAAGGCTTTGAAAGTGCGACCATCTCCACACGGAGAGCAGGAGGTTCCTAAGAGTATGTATGATAACAAATATTTCCACTCTGTCACTTATACCTGGAAGTCATATTCACAAACTAGCATAATTTGTTTTTAAAGTGAAAAGCTGTGGAACCAACGATTTCGTCAGAGATCTTACTAGGGAAATTATATGGGATAAATATTGAATTTACTGGAGTTTATTGGATTGATTGATTTGTTTTTTCTTTCTTTCATTTTATATCCTCCTTAAATAAGCCACAGAGAGCAAGGGTCTTTTCCAAAGGGCTTAAATTTACATGATTTATGGGCCATGTTCTGTATGTAGCCAAAGCCCGTATTTATTATGATCAAGTATGAGGCAGAAAAGAATCAGACCACGGTTTCTGAATATTGACTTCAGAGCGGCCTTGCATAAGACTACAAACATATTTCCTCGTACCAAGAGGAGGTAGGAAAACTCAAAATTCGAGGCTTCTAATACTACGTCAAAAACTAGATCTATGCAAAAAAAAAAAATCTTGCAGTCATAGTGTTCGGAACTAATCCACTATGAACTAGCCTCAACTTGTACGACAAAATTCCCATAGAATTAAGGTGCCAATTTAAGAATTATACTGTTGTCCCCTAAAAGTTATTCATCTTGATTCCGTCACCTCGAAACTTTATTGTGTGATAAAAGTTTGGTTTGAGAAACAAAAACTTTTGACTCAACTTAAAGACGAGATGTGATCTGAGGGTAAGAAGTTTTGTCACCTATATAACACCACAGCTCCTCTATGCTCTTAATGAACTCTAAACTTGCTCTTCAAAAACAGTCGGACCAATTGCCTTAAATAGATTAGTATTAAACGTTATCCTATGCATCGATAGCGAAATTGCAAGAGCGCGCATTCCGGACGGCAAAATACCTATTTTAAAAAAGTGAAGGAACAGTCTAGGTTGCTTATAGTTTTGACAGTTGAAATGCAATAATTCTCGGAAATAGCAACAAAAAGATACTTTTCAACACTCTGCAAGCACTACCGAAAAAAAAACTTTAACTATTGGGAATTGCAAGAGAAAAACCGAGACACGAGATACGTGTCTTGCGAGCGGGGCTCCGACAATTGGACTGCATTTTGCAATGTGGAACTATAAATTCTGGCTCATCTGAAAAAACACTTATGCGCATAGGGAAACTAATGGCACATACGTTGTTTTTGAACCGGGCCGGAATTTATAGTTCCTAATTGCAAAAATCAGTCCAATTCATCCCGAGATACGCGATTGAGCATTGAGATTTTGAGACGGGTTTTCACCTAATTTAATCAAATCAAGACGATACAAGGAGTCCGGAAAAACATAGTTCTTAAAACTAACAAAATTCCTATTCGCACTAGTGAGCTCTAATTCCCGTGAATGAAAACACTATTTCGACTCCTTTTTGCTTGTACCAACTTAAAATCAGTGAACAAGCAAAAACGATTTCAATAGAGAATTTTCGATGAAAATCGCAAATACTCTTGCAAAACCGTCATTCTGGGAACCTCTACTCATTTTCTTCCCATTTTCAGGCAGTCGACCACAGACGTTCTCTTTCCAGTACCGGTCCGGCGTACCTAATGAGGAAAATGCTGATCCACCACAAATAGCCAAAACATCCCCGGAAGATTCCATCCACAAAAGAGCGGTAAGAAAATGCATTTGATACGGAACGAACGTTAGTAATGTTTAATCCTCTGATCTTGTGGCAAAAATCTCTGGGCAAAAATGTATAATCTTTGCACAGCGTGGTTTAAGATTCAAAAGGAGAAAAATGAAGGAAAACCTTTGGCTTAGCAGATGTGATATACGACTGGATGCGCTGTTACGGTTTCAATGACCGGCACTTACGATCTCTGAACCCGAGGTGGGAATCACTGAACCTGCATGAAACGTTAACTGCTCTTTGATCAGTTTTTTTAAAGTGGTTCTCTTTTTTAAACCAAATTTTAATCTTATTTTAAAGTGAAAAAGGTATTAGACGTTTTAAATAATTGATTCGACCACTAGAGAGTTCATGTGTGAAAATTTCAGTAGGGAGTTCAGAAAAGGTGATGTGCAGAGGGGGAAAGTACTTTTTTTGCATGATTTCAGTAATATCTTGCAAAGAATTTAAGTTACAAAACCTTAGTGACAATGGAATGCTCTTGGCTCCTTGTAAATTGCAATTCAATTAAAAGTCACTATTGCAAAGCGCCTTCTTTTTTTAAGAAGCAAAACGAGAATCACTTAGCCACGAATTGATGCACCTGAAGTTTTGAAATTTAAATGCCTCTAATTGTTAAATGTTTTCTCATACAGATCATTGGCAATGGTGTCGAGGATCATTCATCGGACGAGTCCGCTTCAGAGTGTGCGTGCGGACGTAGAAGATTCAATAGGAGAAAAACAAACTGCAGTCGAAGTCCTTTGTCCCATACAAGGTAAAAAAAACTTCATACTCGTTCTTTTTCATCAATATTTTACGTTCTCGCAGATTTGTACGTATCTGATGCGCGTTTAAAATTATTTTGATGATCAATTTGCAAATTGCAGTTGTAAGTTGTATGCAATTAGAGAAGAATTTTACGAGTAAAAATGGTAAATAAATAGATTAAAAAATTAGAAGAGGTTGGGGTTTTTGACGTACCTGTTTTTCCAAAAAATACTGCACAGTATTTTTTAGTCTGCCAGAGTAACTACTTTTTTACGAGTTTTTTTACAATAATCAGATTGAAAAATTTCACGTCGTGTGCTGCTGGATTTTTTTAATTCTTAAGATGTATGCAAAACCATTTACCCAAAAATTACCTCACGTATCAACTCTCTTGTTAATCAGGCCGAAGAAGAGACAACAAGGATTGCCAAAAACAGTGAGTTTAGTTGCCGATGGAAATAGATCAGTCCCTAGAATAAAAACACCAACAGCCTTAAGCCCTGGACACGGAACCAGTAAAAGTTTGGGAGACAGCCCGACCAGTCTCCACACTGATAAGGTGAGGCCTCAACATTATATCGATGTAATCAAAATTTTTTGATTTTGCTGACGTTTATTAGAATTTCAGCTACACCAATATCACTCGGTAAAAATTAAAACGCGCTAACACTCTTAAATGGTTTTTATGATGTTCTATGTTGAATGATGAGGTTTTAAGATGAAAAAGAAGATAAATACGCTAATATTTGAAGAAAAAGCTGTCAGAGCGACATTTTAGCATCGACAAAAGTGTTTGATTTCTTATTTATCGATGACTGATCAAAATATTTAGGGACCATGCGCGTTTACGACCGCTGGACAGGGTAATTGAGCCTTGACTTACACGGCTCCTTGTTAAAATTTTACTTAAAAAATTAGTCACATGATGGACATTTGTTTTAATGAGTTCCTAAGCTGGAGCATCGTCTTTTGCCGTGTCGGGAAATTTAATCAAAATGCTCACTAAAAAAATCACTTTAATCAAATTCTCGCATGCAAATTTTGGCATGTTTTACCATCGATGAGTCCGTTATTGCGGGTCTTGTAATAATGAGTAAGTGACCATGTCGCTTGAAAATTGGAGGAAGTTCCATGAAATGATCATTAGGTACAAATATGGGTATTAACACGGCTAATCCTCATTTTCAGGATTCAATTTCTCTAGCCTCTGCTGCCAGTATCGAGTCGATCCGTCTGTCTAGTCCACGTAGTGCAGACTCAGTTTTTTATTCACCAGAGCATCACTCTTGCCACCACTGTGGTAAACAGATTGACTCTCAAACATCGGACACAAATTTTTGTCAGGTATTGCTCTTTCCCCTAAGCATTAAGATTCAATCTGTTTTTTCAAAACCACCCTTACTTTTCGTGGATCTTGGGTTGAATTTCTACTCATCAGAGAAGTTAAAAGTCATAAAATGTGGCGCTAGTAAAGATGATCTTCAGAAAATTACATCATAATTATGCGAAATTGCTTGATCGGTCTGCTGTGCACAAAGATAACAATATTAGACAACTTTCTATAAGTATCGAACAAAAATCTTATTCAGCACATCAGAAATGTCGGCTTAAGAAAATGTCAATGCGTATAGAAACTCATACGCCTTCAAGTTTTCGGCACGCATCACGCAATACTGATGACCGTTGAGCATAAGTAGTTGTTACCGTCTACGTCAGTAGACCAAGATTTTAGATTCCTGCTCCATGATAATGAGACAAATTAATATTTTTCATGGGAAATTCTATCAACTAACATCGAAATTTAAGCGATTTTGATTATTTTGTTTGTTCTTTCAAATATTACGAGCATCTTTGCGGAATTTAACAGTATTAAATGTATGAACGGCAGAATTATGAAACATCCTTCAACGCCTAGAATTGCTTGGTTCTGTGGATTTTGACTCAGAAAATGTCTCTGAATTTAGTCTTCAATTTTCGGGCAAGAATAACCATTATTTACATATTTGACTTCGGACTCTCTAATGACGAGAGAAATATTTTCACTATCTCTATAACACTTGGTGGCATTCAGAATGTTTTGCAAGTCCAGTATTTATATGCGTAAAACAAAGTGCCATATGATGATAAATTCTTTCACGAAACAAAGTCGATTAGAACTCTTCACGAGGAGTGATTTTGAATATTAGTAGCTCTCGTTTACTTTCGTGTGCTAATTTCTCTATTATTTTTTCTAGACTAAAGTTAAAAGTAAAAGCGCTGAAATGGACATTGTGAAACCTCCCGCTGGCTTTGCTGATTCTCCACAATCACATCAGCGATTAACATTCCAAACACGGTTATTCAAGAAAAATGAAAAAACAAGATTTCGTTCAGAGGAGCGTTGTTTCAACAAAAGGCACCGGGCCGAAAAAACTCGAGCCAAATCTGAGGAAAGAGTGAAGGAAAAATCTACTGAAAAACAAAGGTATGCATAGTTAATTAAATACATCCCAACTAAAAATGTAGGTAGCTAATTTATCATTTTGCTTCAATCACCTTCTCATCATTATAATACTGATAATATTTCTACGGCGCCTATTTAAAATGGCAAATTTGAGCGATATAAGCTGCTTGTTGAAAATGTGCCATGCACGTGCATAATTTTCAATTTGAAGATCAAATATCACTCGACAGAACATTCTGTTTCCTCAAAAAGGCATCAGCTCTTACATCACAGGTACCAACCTAGTTGATGAACAAGATATCTTTACAGATTTAGTATAAAAAAAGAAAAAAAATTAAATTCAGAATAACGTATTACTCTTCCTACTACCATTTATTTTCACGGGAGAAAAAACATTGTGATAGCATTGGTGATATTTTATACTGTCGATTTATAATAATTAATATAATCAAAAATTCCCTCTCTCTTATATCTATTCTCCACCCTTTCAAAAGCGGTGGTCAGCTCATGGAAAGTTTGTTTGGTTATTGATTTTGCGAAGTACAGTAATCTCTCTCTATAACGAGAGCTCAATGGACCGGCTGACCTCCTCGTTACAGAGATTTTTCTCGTTATAATGATAGCAGATCAGAAAGAAAAAAAACGGAAAAACACGAAAATCATAATAACTTTATTGACAAAGGTACCATTCAGGGGTACAAAATCTCTACGACCCCTCAAACTTAGGATAGCAGGCGGGATTTGCAGTGCACTGGTCGGATATGGTGTACACTGTACACTGCAATAGGTCCGGCACCGAGAAATTATGAATTTTCAACGATTAAAGCGCGTAACGTAGTGAACGCGCAATGCGTGAAGTATTCATGCAGTCTTGTAGGCGCTAATATGCGCTCCAAACGGCAGCCGCGCCGGCGGAACCCGGCAGCACTGTGTTTGGCGCAATGCGTGAAGTATTCCCGCAGTCTTGTAGGCGCTAATATGCATTCAGCGCCGACCGCAGCGCACGCACTGTGTTTGACGCGATTAGTTAAACTTGCGAAGTCAGCATTTTTACCGCTAAGTTTTTGCACGCACTATATGGATTGCTGCCAATTAAATGGAAATAAAACAAATTACATAAAATCGAGCTAATTTTTCTCCGTTTATATAAAAGTGGTTAAACCCATGTTTGCATCTCTTGTGCGACTGCACTGCTTTGTCAGCAGCTGGAAACTCCTAAACAACGGCAGTAGTCATTTTTTGCGTTCTTGAGAAGGCTGATTCCTAGGTATGAACATGGAGTTTAACCCATGAGTCAGATCGACAGCCGCTCGCAACAGAAAGTTGCTCCATTTTGACACTCGTTACGTCGGGAGGAAAATACATGTATTTAAACAGGAAGTTCAAGGTACCGACCAATTTTTTTTTTTAGATAGAGATGTTCTTGTTATAATGATAATCGTTACAGAGAGAGACTACTGTATTATCAAATCAATTTCTAATTGGCAAATTAATTTCAGTTTTCTACACAGTGGATTAATTTTCTCATCAAGCTGAATTTTTCTTAAGAAGTCAACAAGTGCTGCGCATCAGAGGAGAAGGCACCTGTCGTAAAACTTGAATCTAGTTAATTGCTGAACTAAACATTTGTGTTCAATAGTTCATTTAAATTATAATGAGTATGGGTTATTTTTTGCACGCAGGAAGTTTTCTGAATTTAATTTAATTTTCACGTAAACAATAATAAACCATTATTCCAAGCTTGTGAGTCAACTTTGGAAATTCTCATTTATTGTACGTGTTTTACATGAAATTTTTAGAAGGAAACCAGTGCTGTGACGATTTTGTTCTTACCTTTTCTGGAGGTAAATTACTTCCTATAGCTCTAACTTCGAACATGCATTTTCATGAACAGTTACGTCAGTTACATTGCTCTTCTGAAAGAAGGACGTACCTACATTCTAAGATGAGCCCCAAAGATCGCCATATTAGACAAATGATTGTCATATTAGACAAATGATCGTCTTAAAAAGTAGTTACGTCGGCAGAACGATATATCCACTGACAAGGACAGACTAAATTTAATAAAAATATTATTTTTTCGACCAGTCTAACCACTCGTTCGACAGACGCAAGTATAGAAGAATTGAGGTTGAGCCCGTTTGGGGATTCTAAAGAAGAATTGAGCGGAGTTTACAAAGGCCTTTATTGCGAATCGTCATGGGTTTTTGTGTCGGATACTTCAGAGTTCCCAGCATTTCAGAAAGCAGACAGTAGAGGTAAGGCACGTTAAATGTCTTCATGCCCATAATTTTTTTATCTGAACATGAAAAAAAACATTGTTACTTTCGTAGTTAAAAGGACAATTAAAGGTATTGGTATCTCAATCTTAAGGACCAGTGCGCTGCCCAGTTAAGGAAAAACACAACGTTGGAACAGTATAAGGCTTTCAGATGGACTTCAGCGTATGGTGTCTTATGGATCGGCCCTATGTTTATCCTAGTTTTTCTTAAGTTAATATTTCAAGATTCGATACATTTTGCATACATGTTTTCCTGAATGTAGAGTATAAAATTTTAGAATAAAATGACGTACTTCGGTAAATATGTATTATCTTCTTATGTACTGTGCTCTTTCCTATACTAGAAGAATATAAAGGAACCCACCACTACGCTACGTTTTTTTCCTGCGGGATCTGCCAAAATTGTTAAAGAATTCTTGTTATATAATTGTTAAAATTGTAAAATTGTTAAATGGATTATTCATATTTGTTTCGCGGGCGTTTTTTTATCTTGCTATCTTGCATGACCGAAACGTTTTAAAGAATTCTGATATATCCCAATATATCACCGATAAAACTAAAACTACGTCCACGACGTGCTATGTTGAGTATTTCTTGTCACATTCTCCTCTTTTGAATGCCGATAATATCACATGAAACAATCACTCATACATGAAAATATGTCTGAAAACATCATTTGATATACATCACAATTATCTTTTCGAGAACGCTTTTATTTCATATCGTGTTTCAAAAAATCTCCACGGACTGAAGAAGATGATAACACAACTGTAAATGATTATTACTTCTTGGATTTGAATAGTTTAAACATGTTTTTTTTTTTTCTTTCTTTTTTTTTCTTTTTTCCAGATGAGGATGATCAAAAAGAGCCAGACAGAGTAAACTACACAGAGGCTTTTGAATCTGAAAGAGAATTCCGGAAAAAGTATCAAGGCATTACTCAACGAATGTTCCACCGAAAAGCGAGCCTTGAGATGTACAAAAGGATGGCATCTGCTAAAAAAGTCGGTACGTTATCAAATGGAATACCTAATTTCATTTTTGAATTTTCATCTTGAGAGGGTTCCCCCTCTCGTTTTCAATTTTTAAGATTTTTGAAAGTTTTGAGAAACTTTGAAAATTGGATGACTTCCGAGTAAATGCAAATACCGCGAATAAAGGGGACGCCCGGAGATTTTGGACGTTATACTGTTTAATTTAAAATGTACACACCCATGCTGGCCCTACCCCTGCCCCTCCAAAATATCGATCACAATACTTCAAGCGAGAAGCACCGGACTCGCCGGAGTCAGCGACGCGACGAGACGTTGAGGACAACGTCTGAATGCAACTATTCGTGTCCGAGGGATGTCCGTGTTGCCTATACACAAAATTGAGGGCACTTCGGCTGCGCTGCCGTGATAGCGAAGAGAGCCGTAACTGCAAAAATGAAGTTCTGAGAATACGGGCTTAGAAGCTTGTGACCGGAACATTTTATTGAAAGAAGCCTCCGTTCTTTGTCAAATTGCCACTATTCGTCCGGAAGACTCCTAGAAATCATTTGGGGGATTAAAACTCGACCGATTTTATTTGAAAGTACATGAAAAAGGTAAAATTCAGTTTCGTGTTAGGTTATTGTTAGGCAAGACAACCGTAAGTGCTATCTTCTGCATGCTTTCGTGGTTGCGTTTTGGACGCACAACAAACACATTTTCAGGTTAGAAATTGGCAGAAGAGGGCGGCACTTTATGGAAAGCACTGTTTTCATTGGCTCTCATGCATACCTACGGCTGTCTTGAAAAAAACTATAGCCATTTTTTGTGCACTTACGGCTTTCTCATACGTCTCGTTTTCATTAAATTAGGATTCGCTGTCTCAGTAATGTCATCTAAAAGAGTTTAGACGAATTTTGAAGAAAACTCGATTTCGAAAATTTTGCACTTACTGCTCTCTTCGCTATCACGGCAGTGCGGTTGCACGCCCTACACAAGAAGACACGCTGTGCAGCATCGGGCAGGGAAGGGCTCTGCGACGGGCTTAAACTCTTCTACTTTTACTCCTTTTCTGCGGGTTCTTAGTGTCGGAAAATTAATTGAGAATATCATGGCATCATTGCTTTCGGATATTTTCATGTAAAACTCCTAAAAATGCCAGACAAAACCAAAATTGTCAAGATTTGAAGTTTGCGGATCAAAAAATAGTTTTGAGGCAAAGCTATCAGAGGTCCGTCGTTGTTGAGGTTTAAACTTGGATCGGCACCAAAGTGGACTTTATATATCTGAGTGATAATTTTGCATTGACAAAATCATGACGCGAACTGAACCGAGAAGCCAAGTATCCAATGTATTTTTCTCTTTTTTTCGGACCATCAACGTAATTTCTTGAAGTTTATCGTTATTTATTCTTTCTGCACTTATGGAATATCCTATGAATATTGAAATTTAAGTCGTTAACTTGTTTCCCGTTGAAAAAGTAAAATATGAGAGAAATATTTTGCGAAAATACCTCATTCAAGTTCGGTTGTATTTCAGAGACCGTCGATGAGAGAATATGTTTTTAATGTTGGTCATTTTCTTCTTTCTTTTTTTTTGTAAACTTTCAACAGAGAGTGATAAGAAGCTGTTGGTGAAACGAATTTCAACAGGGGAGTTTGGTTTCCGCATTCACGGATCAAGACCAGTTGTTGTCTCAGCGATCGAGCCCAACACTCCGGCGGAAACCTCAGGATTGGAGGTTGGGGATGTGATTTTGAGCATCAACAAAACGTGTGTCCTCGATGCTACACATAGTGAAGTTGTGTCTTTAGCTCATTCAGGTATGCGAGAAGTTGGTCATATTTTGATTTGCAAGCGGTGGGCGAAAAGAAAATAAACAATATCACAATTAAAAAGGGTTAGCCCCTTAGTTAAAATCTGCATATTTTACGCAAAAAAACACATATATGTACAAATTTACCCCTTGGTTACAATAATGCAAAAAGACAAGAAACAATGAACAGAAGAAAACTCATTTTAAAGCTGGTATTGGAAAAAATTCAGTTCAAACGCTCGTGATATCATCAATAATTCAGTCGTGTGTGCAGATTTCAGTGAATTTTCTCCATTGTACAAAGCAAATTCCCTGAAATTTTCAATTCAATCCGCACAATGGTTCTCCCGTAAGAAATTAAATTGCCCGGTTAAATTTGGCAATAGTTGATGTGGGTTGGTTCCTTTCTGTAAACGCGGTCCAATTAGCAGTGTCTTTATTCTTACAGAAACAAAGGAAATCAAAAGCAATAATTGGTTTTCTGGCTAGAAATTCACTTTTCCCTATTTGAGAATTTTTTTCTTCAGGCTCTGATACTTTAGAAATCGAAGTGGCCGTCATGCCAAAAAACTGTGATACTATAGAAATCGTTAAGTCCGGACCACTTTGGAAACTAACAACCCTCCAGTCAAACAAGGAACTAACCTGGATTCTGAGGTTCTTCTCTTTGAAAGAAGACAACTGCCTTTATTTTTACAAGACTGATTCTGTGAGTACCACATCGTTCATTATTTTTGCTCATGCATTTTTTTAAATTACTGATTCGGCTTCGTCATATATTTCTTATTCGAACTAGGAAAGCCCATTTTGCTCATGTCTCCAATGATTGTTAATTAGTACGTCAAAATATTTGCTTTAAAGTCGTCAACGTTAATGGAATTTTTTGGCTGTTTGACGCACGTTGTATGGAATCAAACACTGGGTGCACTCCTGGTTATATTTGGTCGTATTTCTGCTATTCGGAACTAGAGACTGGTGGGAGAGAAGGGATGTGCTCGTTCGTCGAGGGCCGTAAAAGCGAATGGGAACAATAAAACGCCAGTGACGTCATCGGCGACGAGGCCGCCCCGCGGTTGCCCGTGGTCGTATGTAACTCATGAGCCCTGTCCACGACGCTCTTTTGCCATGTCCACGGCTCATGAGTGTCGCATAAAGTTGGCACTTAGTTCCGTTTGATAGTATGTGAAATCCTGCTTTTCAATGTCCCTAAATGGAATCACGCACACTTTCATATTGTTTTTTATGAAACTTTCTAGAGCACACCCCATCTTTCCCACGTTTCTATGGTTCCGTTTAGAAGAAAAACGTCCATTTGGGGCAGAACTTTGCGTAACAAGTTCCTGGCAAACTGCAGAGTTGGTTTTTCCCTCGAAAACGCGTAAATTCTTATAAAAATTTCAAAAACTTTCAACATCAACTTATGTGGTACCTCTCCTACACAGCTCCCGTAAAAATTGATCGTAAGAATTCATACATTAACATTTGTTTCGTTTACTCATTCTGTTTTTTTATGGTTTTCTATAAGGATACCGTTCCATCAGGAGCCATAAGACTGACAGGGTATCATATTTCTAGAACTCCTGACAGCGGACATTCATTCAGCTTCCATTTGACGAGACCTGGCTCGCTCACTTATCAATTAGCGGCGGAAAATCAAGAGGAAACCGAGAGTTGGCTAACGGTTCTTCAACAAGCAACTTGCCAGCAAGTAAGTTCCACCACCTGTACTTGAAAAAGTTGCAGCAAAAAGAGGGAATTTTTAATTTAACCATGCGGCTAATCCTGTACAAAATTGCTGCACTAAACCTTCATGGGGGCGGTGTGGGCATAATGTTGGGCGTCGGCCATCTGAAGACATATCACATGGTGCAGAAAGAAGCAATCGGAGAAGTCAAAGAGGGATGATATGATAGATAGGGATGAAAGTCACCACTTAATCCAAAACTTAGAGGAGGGCGAAAGCTGTCGGGTCGGGAGGAAACTAATCTAACAGGGAAATCTTGGGGGGGGGGGTGTAAACATTTTTGAAACGTCCTTGAATTAAACAAAATTGCCCCTTGAAGGACTAAAAAGTCAAATTAAGCAGAAGAGAGGACAGTAAATCCCCATCCCGCTATCTTTAAATCCCTATAGGTAACCTCGGTTGGCTTAAATGACAGTCGTGGAGAGGCTTGGAGGACAAAACGCATAAGTGCAGTTTTTGAAAAAAATTGAGGGACTAACAGTTCCAATTAAAACTGGTCTTAAAATATATGTATTCTATGAAATATTTACCACTAAAATCCAATTTTCATGCATCAACAAGTGAGTTTGAACTTTTCCTCCGCCATAAGGCTCCATGATGCTCTTGAAACTAGGTATCTAAACACGCCCTGGTAAAAATTGGCAGTAGAATCTGTGTTCCAAAATACCATAGACTTAAAGCCGGCTGTAAGATTTTCAATAGCGTCTATAGCCGGCTGCACAATTTCTTATAGCCTTTTATAGCCGATGGCGATTGAGCAACAGCCAGGCGATAAAGTGTATGCTACATGTTACTAATTACGGATGCTAGGACTTGGTGAGTTTTTGGACTACCGCTCTATTTTTGGGCCGTAGTATCTTGATTTATTTTGCGCGGAAAGCTCCATACTTTTGAAGGATGCCTGCCATTCCTAATATGTTGGAGCACCTTCAATTTCGTATGATAATGTGCAATACCTCTGGTGTGAAATAGTTGCTTCAAGCGCCGTGGCACGCTGCGGCGCGGCGGGCGGGCAGCCAGCGCGAAAAGCGCCTTAGCGCCTACAAACCTAACAGGGATACTTCACGCATTGCGCCATGCGTGAAGTATCCCAGTTAGGTTTGTAGGCGCTGGTGCGCGCTTATCGCTGGTAGCACGCTGCTCCGCTCTGTGTTATGCCCCAATATAATCTTGCGGAGTCAGCGTTTTTCAACTCATGATTTTGAAATGTTTGCACATCCTGTATGGATTATTCTCATTTTAATTGATGAAAAAAATATGTATTAAGGGAAAATATAATGTATGTTTTGTGAAAATTATGTTGGCGCCGTATCAAACTTAATGATTTCTAAAGCACACGAATTTCTACACAATTTCTGATAGCCTTTTATAGCCGATGGCGATAAAGTGTAAAGCCCGGCGATAGGAACTATAGCCCAGCTGCATACTTTTTTATCGCTTCGTAAAGCCCGGCTATATGATTTGCTCCGCTTTCTACAGCCAGCTATATGATTTTCTATTGCCTTCTTTAGCCGGCTATAAGAATTCCTATGGTATTTTGAAACGCAGCTCCTATCGCCAATTTTTACCAGGGCGTAATGTACAAGCCTCTCAAATGTTGTTTACGTGTTATGATATAACTTTGCAGGCAAGTGGTAATCTCTACCGAATTGTAAAATCGGCCAAAACATCGCCCACATTTAAATCCAATTAAATAATAATCCAATAATTCCAATAATACATTAATCCAATAATTCCAATAATACATTAATCCAATAATTTCACTTAAAATCTAAACTTAAATTTCTATATTTTTTATACATTTTTAAATTAAAGACTATCAATTCTATTTGAATATCATTGGTATTCCCATTTTTTATGTGTCAAACCTACAACTCTAAGTAAGTAAAAAAAATTGAAAGGAAAAAATTGAAGTTTGTGACTTACTCTTTAGAATGCTTGTTCCATACATATATTTTTCTTCCAGATGAAAAGTTTAGTGGACCATGAAAACATGTTAAAACCTCCAAGTGCCATTCTCGATCCTGACTGTGATGGATATCTTACTGTTTTACTTCATTTGCGCCAAAAAATATGGAAAAAGAAGTATGTCTTGCTCAAGAATGCATTTCTTTTCTTTTTTCGGCACATCAATTCTGACACAGCCTTCGGTAAGTTAAAAGAAAACAATGCACCTAAATTACCCTCGCAATGATCACTAAAAATACGTTACCTACAGAAGATTTTCAGTTTCCTAACTTTGCTACTGGACACAAGTAGGACAAGAATCTTCTGCAGTCAGTACTTATACGTGGAGTGTGAATTCTTTCAATCGCGATTTCAATAAACATAAGTAATAAATCATGAGTACCGAAGTTCGAACATGAGCAAGGTTTTATTCCAGCATGTATGTACCGATTATCCACAGACTGTGTGAAATACCCGCTGCAAAACCCTAAAATTCCTATTTGAGACCTAAGTTTCCCGGGGTTATGGCGCGCGGGTAGCACAGGGAAAAAATTGGGGGAGGTGATTCTTGTCTGTGGTGACCAATAACTTGATAAGTAAAACCTAGTCTCAAACTTAAGGCGAGCTTTCCCCCATTTTTATCTTAACGCAGTGTTGTTATTAAGTACAGACATAAGTTTGGTATAGGATCGACAAAACCGTAGTCGTAATGTTTTCTCTATGCGTCCAACTTAACGTTAGGTAGTATCCGTGGCGCGTAGATACAAGGCTCAATTCGTCAATACGAACCAAAAACGACGTCACGATAGTCCATGCCGAAATGCCAAGAGGCATTGGTCGTGATGGCATTTCCGCGACGAATACATTGATTCCTGGGCTGACGAAGACGGCTGTTACGTGTATTCAGTTGGATTACACATCTATAACAGCGAGAAAAAACACTAAGAAATGGCCCGAACTGTATGTAACAAGGTAGTAAACTGGTGCTGGGTCAACACCATTTCGCGGGGAAAACTAATTGTAAGTCAAAACCAACGGTGTGGTAAAGCGTTTAGTATCATACATGATTGAAGGCGCGGAGATTCTCTTTACTGCTACTTTCTTGACAAAAATTTGGCCGAATTTTGAAAGTATCTGGAGTCTAATGATTCATTATTTTATGCGCTTTTATTTCAGCACTGGCTAGTCTGCACGGTTACCGGGTACAATGTTCGAATACTGTGAAGCAAAAATTCCTGTTTGAACTAATCCCTCCAGATTGTTGTTACAAGCATTTTCATTTTTATACAGATAATGAAATCGATAGAAAAAGGTTTGTATTATTTATTTTTCTGCATTGATTTAACACGTTTACGTAAAGAGGGACCAGTTCGTATGAAGCCGGAGGAGAAACAAATTAATTGGAGCCAGAAGTAATTTTAAGTGGAACCAGTTATAAGAAAGAGTACAATTCCATGTGGAAAATTCAAAGACCAGGAAAGGTTGATTTTCGAAAATAGAGAGTAGTTCTTTTTTTTACATTAAATCACCATGAGATGCTGCAGAAAAAAACTTTTAAACTTAAATCTCACTTTACCTAAGCTTGATGGTTTGGTTCTCTATTGTTGAACTTTCTTTAGTTCTTCCTATTACTCGGTGGCCTTTTTTTTATTTTTATTTTTTATTTTTATTTTTTGTAAAGAGGTACTTTTTGATGAATTCACTATAATGAGGACATCAAAGTCTTTTTTAAAACTGATTTGTTGCCTCTTGATTTTGTAAATAACATTCAATCTCTCATAGGTTCATCATTCTACATTAGGTAAATTGGAAAGGCCGCAATGTTTAGTTGAAAAGCAGGGCCGGATTAAGGGGATGGCCACATGGGCCGCGGCCTAGGGCGGCAAATTTTGCAAATTTTTAAATGTGGGTATAAAAAAATCGGATTCAGAAAAAAAAAAAATTATCAATGAGAAAAGAGGACAAAATCTCTCTTTCCTGAGAGTATAGTAATTTATAATTTTGTCATTTTTCGGTGATACAAGAGACATCATCTTTAATTAGTCGAGTTAAGAGAGGTACTAAACACTCAATTTGGCCTGGAGCTCAGCGCAGAGAGGGATGATGACGAGGACTTGAGATGAAAAGGACAAACCTTCGGCGCGGCGCGCGGCGGTCGGCATTTAACACATATTAGCGCCTACAAGACTGCATGAATACTTCACCCATTGCGCCAAACACAGTACGGTCAGGAGCGGTTGGCGTGAAACGCATAGCGCCTACAAGACTGCAAGAATACTTCACGCATTGCGCCAAACACAGTGCGATCAGCGCGGCGCAGCTGCGGAAGTTAAAATTATTAAACCACATTTACGTTTGTTCTTTCATAATTTTTTGGTTCATTTCTTATAAATGGAGGACCTTGTCCACGCAGAGATAGGTTTACGGAACTTAACTTTCGCGCAAAGTTCCGTGAAATTTTGCTAGTACCTAGTGTTGACAGTGCTTTCGCAAAAATTTTATCCAACACGAGTAGGTAAACGCGTCTTATGCACCCCTCCTCCTCCGGCACGTTCACTTGATGGTTTTTATTGATGTTTCAAAACGAATGATAAGGGGGTAGCAAAATACATCAGGCGGCCCATTGGCGGCAAGTAGGTAAATCCCGCCCAGTTGAAAAGTATGAAAAATGAATAATTTTTTTATTTCTTAAAAGAGCAGAATGGAGGGGTTTTCGTGGATATGAACAATGTTTCAGGTAATGTTAATCTCCCCTTGAAACGTTGGTTGGTTAAAACCTAAATTTTGAAGGGAGATTACGTAATATCACACGAAAAATTGCTCATGTTCTACAAATATTTTTCAAGTTAGTTATATTGTCAACAACCTAATACTGAGTGTTTTATGTTTCCAGATGGATAACTGCTCTAGAATTTTCCATCGACAGATGGATTAAAGTTGGCTGAAGTGATTCTGTTTTTCCCTGTTACTCTGCATGGAGCAATTAAATTTATAATCTTGGTGCTAAACATCAAAAGGAGTATGTAGTTGGGAAAATTAGTTTTTAAAATACCGCCAATTGCTTTTTATGTTCTTTCCTTCTTTTCATTGTGTAGATATAAAGGCACTAAAGAAAAAACCGAAAGTGGAGAGAGCAGTATTATCTCATCACTCCTGTCAATTTCTACGTCCATTAGTTCATATCACGGATCGAGGACTTATTTTATTTTTTTTTGTTATAGTGATTGGTCATCCTCTGATATCGTTGTTATTTCTGTACATAGAAGTTAAGAATTTTTACCTTAATCTGTCAAAGAATCCTAGAACCGATGCAAGAAATTTGAAATACCGAGCATCTGGGATTAATGAGAGAACTAAGAATCTGTAAAAATCTATCAAATTACACTTAAGTTCACTTACGTGATAAGGTAACAGTTACCATTTGTTTTCCAGTTCACATTTTTAAGCGGTGCTCTTTCAATAATTTGTGTGATGGTCATCGTCGTATATCCACCTTAAATGGATACCTACCTATATAGATCTGTTTAGTAAAAGATAATCTCTCACTGCCATTTTCTCTTGTTGTAGGAATGCAAATTTCGTTACTTGTTTTCTAATTGTTGCTGCACCCTTAATCAGTGCAGTTAATGTGAATTACCTACTTTTATCTCAAGTTTAATATCATACCATTACAGTGCATGAATTTTATCCAAGCATATAGGTACAGAAAACTATAAATGGAGACAAAGCTGGGGCACTCGGGCTCAATCTGGTACAGAAAACTACTTGCTTTTTAAAAATTTCAGCTGCTCCATGGTGATAGCTAAGTGGTACTTATGGCTTTTAAAGTAAGTTCTTACAAGCCATCAGGTCTTGTTTGAATTTTTCACCTTCCAACATTTTCAAACTCAATGAATTTTTCCACCACTCTCACACTTAAGGGACAATGTTTGTCCTTAATATTTTACCCTGTTGAGTCAAGTCGAGGGCCAACTTTAGTACTATGGATCTTGAGATAAATTTTTGGGTTAAGAGTAGAAACCTCAACCAGTTTTTCTTACAAGCGATCGATGGATGTTATGTAACTACCTGATAAAAAAATAGGGAATCAATCGCAGTCCATTTTAATTTTAAAATTTGAATTCAGTTTAATGAATGTCAGTTAGCTTTTAAGCGAGGATTTTAGATGATGGTCATTTACCTTGTCATCCTTTAAGTATATTATGTAATACCCAAACTGTTTCTATTCAAATTCTCTCAAATTCCATCCAACAGTAATGCTTGTATTCGATCCTATTACCTACTGTGCTTAGGTCAAATTATTATCCTTCTGAAGTTAGTGAAAACTTAAAGCAGCAGATGAGAGACGAGAAGAAACAGAGGTATTTAAGATAAAACTCTCAGATCCCTATTCATGCAGTTTTTTTTTTTTTTTTTTATTTATTTATTTATTGACTTTTAGATTTTATATTTTTGTTGAATTGTTTTCTGATAAAGAATGGCCGAGAGGTCCTCAAAAATGTTTAATTTGATAAAATTTACTACCTATCAAGCTAGTTCCTAGTCATTTGATTTTGTCGTAATTTTAGTGTAAATTCATTCACTGAGATCTTCAATTCCTATCAAGTTGAAGGTATTAATTCAAACTTTGACATCTTAATACTTCATCAATTCAGACTAGTTTTTGTACTCTCCTTTGGTCTTTGTTTGTCATTTATTTCCTTCATCTTTCTATTTTCTAGCCATTTACAGAAGTATTCCTTCATCATTCATTGATTTTTTTTCTACTTTTGCATATGAAAAATTGTTTTTACAGATATAGACTTTATATGCTGCATGTTGACATGGCCGACGAGTAGATTTATTTTCGAAGAATGAAAAAGTATTTCTATGTGTTAACAAATCCTAGTTTTTGTGTAGTTTTATACAAAAGAAACTGAAGAATTTGAAAATTTTACCAAAGAGAGATCCTTAGAGTTGAGTGAATTTGACAGCAACCACCACATGACCTCTTGCCAATTAAGCTCACGTATACAAAGGTAATTTCCTTTTGGTGAATTTATCTGAATGCATCTGAGTTGCCTTTGGGCACTGTTTCTATTTCTCTTGGGTACAGAAACCATTATCTCAATGTAGCAGGAGGAGAATTTATCAGTGCCAATGTCTGATTTTTTTATAAAAGGAACTTTTCAAAGTTTTAAATTTTGACATTAAGTTAACTTACAACCCCTACAGCTGAGAATTCAGCATAAGTTTGGTAAGAGATCTAGGAAAACATTTTCTATTAAGATAAAGAAGTTACTCCATCTTGATAGTCAGGGGCCATTCATAAAATCGTAACATTGAATTTCCGATTTTTCGACACTCCTCGAAACACTTTTGTGACTAAGATCCTTATCTTTCAAAGCATGACAACAAAATGGCATTAGGCTCATCTTGACCTCCCTTCCACTAAAAGTGTTACACATTTTATGAACGGCTTCTAAAGCTGTTCATGTTTTCATGTTTCCTGCTTTTCTTAAAACTTGCCAAATTTGAATATTCGTGCTCAAAAATATGGTAACTTGGAGGACACAAATGTTGGCTAAAATCAAGTGATATAAAATCATGCAAAAAGGTTAAGGTATCTAAATGGGAGACTCGTTGAGGCCAACTTGTGCCTGAAAAGTTTGGCGCAATTTGTACAAGCTTTTACTGTTCCTGCAGCAAAAACCTACACTTTCAAGATTCCTTTGAACTGAAAGTGCCTTCTATGACCCTCTTGGTGACATTAAAGCACAAACATTTCCGCAAGTACTGATAAAAATTTGAAATCTAATTAGAGTTGACATAGAATTACACTTGGACAGTTAAAGAAAGTTTGTTTTATCAAAACTTGATGACTAGCATTCAGCAGCTTATTGTGGCGTGTCATATAAAACGGTAATCATATCGAGTGGTAGGTACAGCCTTCTGGCTCCTGACTATGGCTACGTTTTTCTGAAACCTCAATCAAACTCCATCAGACAGAAAGAGCCACGCAGAAATCCCCATCGCACCCTGCCCCATCACTGCAAACCTTCCCTGCTGGGGTAAGTTTCTTTAGGGGTTGTCTTAAATGCAGTTGCGTAAAATGCATCTAGAAAATAAGTTTGACCCCTAATAGAATTTTCTCTAAAAATGAAAGTCAGTTGATGAAAAAAAGTGACTGATGTGCGCCCTCTTGAAAGAAAGAAAATCTTGCGGTTTTAATCCCTTTGAAAATTGTCATGAACGTATTTCTATGTGGACCCCTTCATCATAGAGTCTTGAGCGGATCAAGTGTAATTATAAGGAAATGACTAAGCATAAAAAGATGGAAGGGATAAGTTACAGAGATTGCCGTCCAGCTTAAACATTCAACAGAAGTCCTGGAAAACTGCATCTTATCATACAATCATGCATGTTATTGGAAAATCCTAGCAAGGTCCTATCAATCTCAGGATAATTTTTTGTCATGTGAATTGGTTTAGATATTGTCTGCATTACATCACAGGTAAAACTTTTGTGACCAAGTCTCAAACAAATTTTAATAAAGATCTAATTTTTTTAACTTCTTCATTGGATTCCTTACTTAAAAAATTGATGGAGCAGTTAGAAAAATATGAATCTCCATTTGTAACAATGCTAACATTCTGCCAAGTTGTACTTGAATGTGGGAAATCCAAGTATTTGGGATTGAAAAATGTGTATGATTTTTCTTGAAGTATCTAAAAATATTCGTCAATAATTGTATGTTAAATAGTTTGTTCCCTTATAGAAGAATAAAGACACAGTAGAAATTTTGAAACACAGCAATGGAGATACATGTTTTTCTTATTATTATCAAAATATTATGCCCTAATGGCTGAAGATGTTTCCTCCCATAAAATATTTCATTTTTATAGCCATTGTAATTTTGTGATACTCACTGAACTAATGTATTTATAATTGTTGCTACTGACATTTTATTGTTATATTAATGCACGAATTATAATAAAATTTGGATCAATTTTTTTTTTTGAAGGTATCAAAAAAATTCTCTTTTACTATATCCAATCTTCTTTTACTTATTTACTTGTTCTCCTGTTGTTTGGGAAGTGTTAACTGTACCGCTTATACGTCTAAATACAGACAGCATATAAGTTAATGCTTACTAAATACAATAAATATTTTAGTAAGGGTAAGAAGGTACATTAACGTTATTTTTAAGCAGTATATTACGAGTACATTTTGGCGAATTCCCATGACATTTTTGCTTCAACACAGAAGAAACTTGTTTGCAAACTTAGGTACAAAACTCACTCACATTAATATACATGCTCAACACTTCGTTTGCACTAAGGACCCGATTTGACAATTTCAGCTAGGTTTAATGTATTTTTATGAAATTTAGATGAGTAATTAAGTTTTTTTGGTGCTTTAACTTGAAACTGATAAAATGTTGATGGTGACACAGGAAGATTTTTACTTCTTTTTCCCTTTTTTTCTACATCAGGAAGGTTTCTATTGAAATGTTGCAGTTCTTTAGGACTACTCATGGAATGATTTTAGAAATCAAGATAGAAAAAAAAGTATTTAATGATGATTCCTGACATGAGAGAATTAAAATATTCTGATTTTGAGCTTTGAACTAGAAAAAAATTTTGGTATTGAAGCTCCAGCGCACTTTAGTTGAATTTCTATCATGCTTTTAAAACTTTCTCATTTGGAATTCATCCCTTTGACTCAAGAGTGGGGATGCGGAAAGAGACTATCCTGGGGCTGATTATCATAAGACTATTTTCATGGTATGCCAGCAAGCTGCCTTAAGTTTATGAGGTCATTTCTAGCCTGAAAGATATCTACAAGAAAAATTAAATGAGATATTATTTTAAATCAACATTTTTTATTTTAACGGAGAAAAGCTTAAATATACAGAAAAAGTATGAAATGAAAGAAATGAGGACAGTTGGATTCTAATACCTATCTTACATGAAGAGACAAACAAATTAATCATCATTGGGAATAGATTTGTAAACACCACAAGCTTTCAGCCTCTTGTATTCCGCCTCTGGGTCATAATTTCTGTAACAGAAAAGAAAGCATCTAAATTAATAGTGCAACAAAAAAAAAGGTAAAAACATATTCACTTTCAAGACAGGTGTATTCATGCAAGATACTTTAAAATACAAAAAAGGTGCCAGTGGGTCCGTAGAAAAAAAAAATTATGTAGACCAACAAAATCATTAAGCCAAGAGCAATTACATATTTTTGCAATTTCACAATAACACCAGAAGTATAATATTGCAACAGCTCTAAAAGGAAATTAAAGATTACATTTGTCTTAATGTCACTTTTGTAAAGTCAAAAAGAAGCGAAGTACTTAAATAATGTCTTTTATACTGTTTCATGCAGTGCTATGCATTAATTTCTACAAGTTGGACATTTTTATGATGTATACTGAACAATAATTGAGAATTTGTTACGAATTAATTTCCTCAACTCAAATGAACAAAAAATTGAAACTTCTATGTGACAAAAACCTAGATTGAGACAGCCCTGACCTCCTGGAAACTTAAATTCTGAATTCGACTTTCCAATTCCATAGTTTCTTTTTTTTCCATTAAACACCATGTCAACTATGAGTTCCATACAAAATAAGATGCGGCAATATGGGCTTAAAAATCCATACAACTGTGTGGAAAACATTCAACAAGATCGCTGAAATAAAAATGTGTTAGAAGCTGACAGTTCAAAGCTTTCAGATCAAAAAATATAGTTTTGAGAGAGCCAATCATGGATCAAGAAAAGTGAAAGCCAGGCTAGCAAGTGGGAAGAGAACAGTGAACTCGTGAGAAAAGTTCTCAATAAAGCAAAAAAATATGAGAAAAAAAGACACCCAGAAATGCCTGATCACCTAGATCTGTTTAATATTTGTGCCCAATGCACACTTTGACAATATTGACAAGCAAAAGGTTTTGAGACTAAGATTGGGATTAATTTTTTTCTGCAAAGAACTTTCTGCACTCCTTGAGCTATTCATGTTCATATTTGCCATATTAAGGGCTCAAAGTTGTTGGGCTTTTCAACTTAATGCTCTCCCATTGGCTTATGAGACGAGGTGAATGACTGAAATTAAGTGTACCATCAGATGACTTGTGCCCTTGAGTGATCTTATCTTGGAAATAAAACATTCGTGGAACATAAGTTCCAAAAATTTGCCACATACTCACTTTCCTGGCAGAGAATTTAAAACATTCAGGTGGATAACTACATCTCCCTCCTCTCCTCTCCTCTCCATTCCCATGATGGATGCAGCCTCTATGCAATATGTACTTCCACTAATAATTTTTTTTTCCTTCACCTAGAAACAGATTCAGCTGCCAAAATTTAATGCATTCAAGGCCTCTAGACTTGAAGTATAAGGGAAAAATTTATTCTTCAGTCAAATTTTACTTTGAGGAGTCAAAAATAGCTTTCTTCAGATTTTCACCGTAAGAGCCGTGTAAAAAGTTACAACCTTAACCTTAAAACGAATCTTTAGGTATGGTCATCCAGGGGGTATTGGCTTTGCTCAAGTGCTGCAGTTGCTGATTTGTGAGATGTCTGTTCTGAACAAATGGCTCTTGGGCACGAAAACCTACTTGGGTAGGTAATTAAATGAGAGGTTTCCCATCACTTTAGCATCTTGCGACTTATAGGAAAATGTCCACACTGGAAGATACTTACGCATAGAATTCTGCAAATTTCTCCTTCTTGGGATCTGTCACAAAGAATTTCCATGCACCAACGACTGAAAAGGAAAATATGGTTGCACCAGCCAATTGCTTTTTGGCTTCGTTGTAGAACAGCTTTCGCATGGGAGGCTTTGCAAGCTTTGTTACCGCTGTGGCACTCATTGTTACCTGGAATAGAAAACCACTCATAAATTTTTACAAACCACATTGACAGAACCATTCTAGATTGCCCTCAGTAAACAATTGCTATGCAAAAATATTATCACCAAGAATACAAGGCAAGGAGAAGAGTAAACGTAGAGTAATAATTAGAAAACACATTCCATATCTACAAAATATATCTTCCTTCCGGCGTTGCCATATTCCACGGACAGGTCAAGGAAACTCGACCAAATTGTGCCTTTGGGACATGATGCATCCTCTAGTGTGACCACCTGATGTGTTCAATTGTGCAAGTAGGGCATGAAGGAAAAGCCTCAGAAGGAAATCACGCCACAAAGTTAAGGTGCTATAGGACTCGATATGGCAGTTGTAATGAGCTAGATATAAAATTGCTTTCGGTAGAGTACGCTAGTGTGCAGGCCTGAGAGAAAGTTCATTCCAATAATTGTGGACATATGTATAATTAGTTCTACTTTCCCAAGGCGATGCATGCTAGAGATGTTACTCAAGAATGCGTCCTGACCCACGTTTGAGTGGAGAACCTTAGGCAGAGGATCCTCATTGGATGGTTAGGCGGGAAAGATGAATTGATGAGGAACATACACTCAGTGTTGAACTGTCTGAGTATGTCATATTCGAAGTGGATCATGTCAATAAATTGCAATTTTTCATTAAATACACTGGATGGAGAAAAATTGAAGGTCATAGAGTTAGGTTAAGTCACTTGGGGTGCATTCGGATATCCATAGTGTGGCCATTAAGAGATGCTAGATTTCAGGTCACAACAATAAAAGAAATAAAAAGTTTACTATTGTTAACTTACCCGGAGAAGACGGGACTAAATGCGATCAAGAGTAATTCAGTGGCCGAAGATCTGTTATCACCGATTGACAAACTGCACAATCTTGCTAAATTGAAATCCCGACTTTCACCATTCATCTGTTGTCATGGAGGGGAAGGATCGATGATCTTCACGATTTCGCGCGCGCGCGCATGCGCATACGGATTTTTACGGGCTTTTTAAAATGTAGCGGGAAATTTTGAATTTGCGGCCCGAACTGAATGTTGCGCGTTCAAGGTGCAGCGGCTTAAAACTCTTGATTATGTTTATTTACGATTCTTCACTAAAATAAAACACTTTATTAGGACTCCTCCTTGATTGCGAAGACTATGAGCACCAATTCCTGTGATGTGAAGAACACTCTGATCCCTAGATGCTACAGTGTGCGTATACAGGGTGATCCGAAAGTCTCTTCCACCCCCTGTGACTTTTGACCAAATTGGAATAAATATGAAACTTGGAGGATGTTCCCAAGTCAAAGGGAGCTACTTTTCGACACACCTAAAATTTTCAAGGAGGCTCCCTTGGACGAACCCTAATTTTTTTTTTTCGATTGAAAAGACCCCCCCCCCCCCCNCCCCCCCCCCCCCCCCAATGTAATAAAGAGCCCTTCTCCTCGTTCAAAAGAGCTTGAAGATAGGAAACTTTTCGCGCAAACCCGAAATCAATGGCTTCCGTTTCGAGATGGCAGCCGGTAAAATTCAAAATTGCTAAAAATCGAAACCAGTTTTTTATCGATGGATTTGAGGGAAACTCGGTATGCCGCATTCCAGGTATTTTGGCACAAAAAAAGCAAATTTCAATTTTTTTTTTAAAAAAAAAAATTAAAAAAAAGGACCCAAATTTTCAAAACGGTCATTGGTTAAAGTTAAAATTGGCTGAAAATTGGCATTTTGGTTTTCTGCTGATGGATTTACCTGAAACCCATGAGAGAAACGAATTAGAACTTTCATATTTGAAAAAACCAATTTTTGGCCATTATTTTGAACTTCAACTGGCCGTCATTTAAACGGTTTGAGATATTGACTTCAGTTTTGCAGTTTATATTTTTAGCTAGGGAAGTGAAAAAAAATAAAGTACATATGCAAACGTATGAAAAAATAGTGTCTATCAGAAAAAAGTTGTTAGAGTAGAGAATGTAATTCCCTGTGTTCTCTTGGTCATATTCTTCAAAAGACTTCGGTGCCTTAAGTATTTATATTAAATCAACCATTTGTAACTTAGGGTCAGCAATGACCTCTCATTTTATCCTTTAACGAGGGTGTCACGAAAATATAAATTCGTTTCCTGAAGAATGGAGATTTTTAGCTATTTGCCATGCTCCAAGGAGCGGTGATATTAATGGCCGGTTGTTGCCTACAGATTTTTAAGGTGATTATAGAATTAGAAAAGTACGGAGTGCTAGTAGATTCTTTAATTGATTTGTGCTTACTGAACTGATCCGTGTTTTCGAGCAAATACATTTTCTTTTTTTTAAGTACGTCAAACTTGAAGTCCTCTGGACAATGTTTTTTCCTCTCTCCTGCAAATTTTCAACAGTTTTTCAAAATTTTCTCCGAAAGATCTGAAATTAATGGTTTTTATTTCTTCCACGACTTGAAGTACCTACTCTAGCTTTCAAACTGGCATTGAAACCAGCATTTAATGGGGGAGGAGGGGGAGGGAGGGAAGCTTCATTTAGTTTTCAACTGAAATGAACAGAATGCCTCATAAATCCGCATCAAAAATAATACAGTTGACTCATTCTCTTTTACATTTCTCCAACAAATTGTGTCATTTCAGATATCATTAAGGACTGAGTTTAAAAAACTATTTAATTTAATATTCATTGATGAAACACAAATATTGGTGGAAATTGAAGGCATTACTGTGTAAAATGTAGTTTCCAACCAAACTTGTGTAACTTGATCATGCAGGAAAATATTTTTCAAGCTTGTCAAACTGCTGTTTATTTTCTTCGAAAATTTGCTTTCTTTTGCAAAATTTTCAACAACAACAATCTTCTTCTTCTTTTAAAACCTCTTTTTTATCCTGATGATATCTTAAGTAAATGGTTTATTCTTTTTTTCATACAATTTCACAGCCTATCAGTAGACAACTAATATTGCAAGAAGCATTTAGAAGGGGTGAAAAAACAATAAAAATAGTAAAAAAACCAATTTAAAAATATTTACAATATTTTGAGCATTTTATTTAGAAAATGTATAACATAAGTTAAAAATTTCAGTGGAGTAGTTTTAAAATAATTTCACATAACATAAGATGATAAACTGGCAAGACTGAACTATCAGAGCTATCACAATAATTAATAATATTATGAGACAAAATGAAAATCTTAAGTAGGTAAAATAGATGCTACGTTGCATTTCAATGTCATCTTTAATATAATCTCCAAAAGGAATTTCCAAAAAGTAAGAAGAATTTAATTTCTTTTAATTTCAATCCATCAATGACTGTTAATGTTTCCAAATCACTAAGAACAATTTTTTGCTTAAAAAACAAAAAGCTAAGCAAAATGAGACTAAAAAAAAAAAAGTAGGTCTTCTCAAAACAATCATTCTGAAGGACCTTATGCCTGGGTAATAATGCAAAATGTCAAATTTAGATCATTTTTATTTCATTGTATTATCTAGAACTTATTCTGAGAAAAATGCCTTGAAAAATCAACACATACAATGCAAAAAAAAATTACTTCCAGTTTCTGTTCATTTGAATTTTCAGCAACAAGGTCAAGCTCCAGTGACTTTGAAGTTTCACCAACCTATAGCTGGCTAAAATTTCTTGAACGTTCCTTCAGGTAAGTATTATCACTAGGTAGATATGTCAAAGTAATTTTCTATGCATTCAATTACAGAAATAATAATTTACTGAAATGAATAATCACAAATTTATTAAAAACCTATAAAAAACAATAAAATGAAAAATTATATACATACAGACACTATTTACAGCATTATGGCACAATCGTATTTCAATGAATAGCACAAATTTATAATAATTTAAATTGCGTTGCTCAATTCAAAGACGTTTATACCATTCAGTTACTAAAATACAATATATACAGTCGACTTCATATGAATATATTTAATACAAAAAGTTATTATTTATGAACGAAAGTCACTAGATCAATAATTGGTAGCTATGCCCTCAATAAATTACAAATGCTACATGTAGATATTGAGAGTAAATTAGAAGCTCCATTTCTGGTGGAGTAAAGGAGGATTATTAATAGACAATTTTTGTTATGGAATGTATCTCACCTTAAAAAGAAACTTCTGATAACTTTTTGCTCAACTCTTCCAACAAGGCTCAAATTTTTAATTTTATTTTTACTTTTTTTTACAACTAAGACAAGCCAAAAATTGTATTAACTCCCGATTTCTTCTTTACCTAAATTTAAGGGTTACATCAATGGAGCCTCCTAAATCTTTTCAAAAAGTTGTGTTTATAGAAAAAGAGCCAAAGATAGAGAAAAGCTCTTCATTCACACGTAGCTATTCATTAATTTAATTCGTTTATTTTTAGAAAATATAATTGAAAATTGGAAGAATGCGAACCAAAGTGATTTTAAGAATTTATACTGCATAAATCATGATTCCAACCCATTTTTTGTAAATGAAAATTCGTAACTACATAATTTTGCGGCAATGTGAGGAATAAATGAGGGCAATTCATACATATGTCTTGTTTTGCCATAACTTAAACGTAAAACTTAAGTGTCTTAAGATGAGATCTTCAAATTGGGAAAGTAATTAATTACAAACAAAGGTACTTGCTTATTTCATAAGTATGAATTACATTATGTCATTGACTGGCTCTAAGAAACTTTGCTGCTGGAGATACTTATTTGGCATCAAAATAAATATCTCTTATCATTGAAATCTCAGGTTTTAGTCATGTTCTATTTCTAAAATAAGTAAATGTGAACTTGCAGGGGTTGAAAAAAAAAAAAAAATCAAAACAAAGAACATTTGGAGGCCGGCACAATTCTTTCTTTGCACAGAGTTGCATGAATATTTTACAAACAGTGTTTTACAAACTTAAAAATCAGAAATTGGAAACATAAAAAAACTAATATTAAGAGAATTTGATATCACTCAGTAAAGTTTTTATTACACTTATGNGGGGGGGGGGGGGGTCCACTTCATTTGCACGAGGTCTGTTGTTCAAATCAAAAGGCAATAAGAATTTCTAGAGAAAATCAGAAATGAAAAAAAAAATTATGCTGTATCTGAGAATTGGAGTGAAAAGACACAAACGAAGGATTTTCATGTACTATTAACTCAATTAAAAAACAAAAGAAAGACAAGTATGGCGATCCATGAGAGAAAATGCATTATAATACTTACTTCAGTAGGTACGAGTACTTTACAAATGAATGTACATGCGCAACATTACGCTCACAAATTTGGCACATGGAATTCAAACAGCATGGAAATTCATGCCGAAATTATCATTAATTTTATTAACTTTACATGTTTTACACATGATATTCTACAGTTACAGGTAATCACGGACTTCAATTTAATATCATCTTAAATAGACAAAAAGAATAAAAACAAGGACTTAAGATGCTACCTACCTAACTTACTGACCCGTACTTGCAGTGCTAACTTTGCACCTCATTGAGAAATTTGAAACAATACCTTTCTTTCTTTTTACATTTTGTATTTGAAAAACTTGCATAGGTGCCATTTTATTGAATTATACAATTTACATTGGCATGGATAAGAAGGCTAAAGGACTAAACTGCCAAGTTCAGGAAAAATGCTATGAACAATTGAACGTTGTCAAATTCCTCTATTAAAAGATTAATTTTGAAGAAAAATTACATCTCATCGAAATCTTTCAGTACTAGAGATCAAATTGCAAAGAAAATTTTTAGAAAAATTGGATGGAAAATATTCGCAAGTTTCCCTGAAAATTCGTATTTTATCGCAGAGAATTAGGCAACTAAAGGTTTGTAAATGGTTTTCCTTAACTTGGCAGAGTAGTTTGTCTTTTTATATTAATATGAATTGATGTCAAAAAACATTAAGGTTGTAACAATTGTAACGCATTTTGCGTGTGTTTAATATAAAAGAAAAGGTTTACACCATGACAGGCATTAAGTTTTATGGAGTTAGTTTATTATTTATTATTATTATTTACTTGGCCCAAAATACATTTGAACAATAAAAGATGAACTAACTCCATAAAACTAAATGCGTGTTATGATGATTTGTTGTTTTGTTTGATTTGTGTTGCAAAGCATTATGGGAGAAAGATTGTTTTTTATTGAGTGCTGACTTATTTTTAAATGTAATAAATGCATTTGAAATAAGCCTTATCAGTTATGAAAATGTCACCAACTTAATGATCTATTAAGATTAAAATATTCCAAAAGACTGAGGTACCTACTGGCAGAATGGAAAAGTACATTGGGAATTGTGTAAAAAATACTACATTGTAGAAATCCCACACCAAGGAACAAAAAATTGGGATGATAGTTCACATTTAGATATAGCTTTGAGCTCTGATACACAAGCTCATACCTTGAATGAAAGATGACAAATGGAATTTGCTTGAAATATTTTATTTCTCCTTTTTGTTGGGCAAGTCTAATCGGGTCAAAGGATGAATTTCTTTTTATCCTTTTTGGAAAATTAAAATGAAAATGTACCTACACAAATGGAATGTGGAATCAGCTAGATTGGTACTAAGCAGGTGCCAAATACTTTGGCAAGTTTTATACAAAGCTTATTTACATTACAATTGCACAGAGAGATAAAAAAGAGATGGAGAAGGAGAGATTAAGATGAGCAAAAGGAAGGACATGAGAAAAGGAAGAATGGGAAAAAAGGAAGAGAAAAGGGATAGTAGTCAATGCAATATGACCTCAAAGGTTAAAGGGAAAAAAGGAAAAAATTTGTTGTCAAAAATCTAAAGAATCAAAATTAAACACAGCCCATAGTGAAATAAGTGATTTGACTTGCTGAGACTTCTCACAACTACGTCTCTGTACAAAAATGAAGATCTAACAACATTTCAGTAAAACACTCACTGAAGTTTACATCTAAAAACAACTTTGGTTGACAATTAAAATAATAAAGAGTAACAATCAAAAATAAGAAAATGAATATGTATTCGATTGATTTCAGTATGGCCAATTCCCATGGCGTCCTTTCTTGGGTGGAGGAGCTTCACTGAAAAGTCCTGACTCATTTTCATTGCTGGCTGATGACGAGGTAGCGGTACCCCGTTTAAGCCAATCTCATTTCTTCATATTCCCAACCAAGTCTTTTGGTTTCGTGTCTTGCAAAACACTTTGCGTAGAACTGACTGATACATTGTTCCCTGATACTGGATACATTTTGTCCAAATGTTTTAATGACTCAGTTAAAAAGTTCTGTAACAAAGTAGAAGAAAACATTAATAAAACTTCAATGATAATAATTTGTAATTGTGCTATAAAAAGTTGAAAAATGTAAATCTCCAATAACAAATTTGCGAGCTTCACTCTTTTTCTTTTTTTTTTCTTTTTCTTTTATTAATAAAACTTACCATAAGTTTTCACGAAATTCTCTGTGAATTTCTTTCGTTCATTCAATTATGAAAAAACTTCTTACAATTTTGGACAGTTTTTCTCTTTTTCTTCTATTTCCTGTTTTTTAGTTTAGTTTAGTTAAAAAAAAAAAAGAAAGAAAGAAATAAGGAAAAAGGAGATATTTTTATTTTAATGTTGAAATGGAGGCGCCCTTTTTTCAACTTAACATACAATGCTAGTAGGAAATGAATATAATAAAAGAGTAAAATTGCATTTTCCTGAGGTTCTTTGTTTCCCATTACGATGATGGCAAAAAAAATAATTTTGGGGATACCCATAGGTATTGGCAATTTTTCAGCTCTCCTTACAATGATAAAATTAATGATTTTTGAATTATGTATTTACCCTTTACAGGTGAAATCTATCTAGATTGGGTAAAGAGAAAAAGACAAAATTTAGGTCCTTACCTGAATGGCAGTTAAAGCAGCAACAATGGCCGGACTTCCAAACCCATGAGATATTAGGGAAAAATGAGTTAGATGACGTTGTATACTCGGATCCAGAATATGCTGCGGCAAAGAATTACATAGCGGTGACCTATCCTGATTTAACAGATCCATTAACTCCTTGGTTACTTGCCTGTAATCAAACCATTAGAGATTTTTGAGCAAGCTGGAAACTTCGAAGAAGAAAAAAAATGTAATAATGGTCCCACAAAATTCAGATCAGCACACAACAATACACTCTGGCATGGGCACTCTTTGGCTAGTTCTTCGTTCAATTCCTCATTCATTGAAGAATAACATAATGAGAGGGTAAGGACAAAAAGATATCGCACCATCACCATTACATTTTTCAGGGTGATGACATCTTTTAATCATAGAGGGGATGAAAGATTTTCTTAGAAAAGAAAATCATGTTACTTGTCGACCGAGTTCAAATTAACAGTTTCGCTGGTAAACTCTTCTTAAAAAGTTGATCCCCTTTTGCTGCATGAAAAACAATTGCATATGCAGAATTTTTGACATAAATAGGTCGTATTCGACCGAGAGGCGCCAATTCAATTTCCCAAATAAATTGAGGGATTAAGAATATAGGCTTGACTGGTCTTTTACATACTTCAACCAAAAATGTCTACGCTCAGGCAGGTTTTTTGTGCCTGAAAATTCAGGTGTCCATGTTTCACACTGCGTCTTGTCATGCAATACACTTCTAACTCAGTCTCGGTTCTAACTCAAAATTTGCTAATTTCTTTCTGACATTGGCGATAGAAAAGTATCCACTCCTCCATAAACGTGGTACCACGGACAAAATAATACAGTGCAAATTGCATACCTCTCAAAATGAAGGGGCGATCAGTTTTTCAATCATGTTTCCGCACTTCAAGACCGAATGTGAATGCATTGTGTCATAGGTGAAACGTAATACGAATATTTCAATGTGCAGTAGCTCAAATCACATACTCCTTAAAATGAAGGAGTTGTCAGTTTTTCGTTTAAGTTCTCACTGGTATAGAGAGAGATTCTAGGTGAATAAAAATGAACTTACTTTGTTGCGTGAATAAGCTCTTTGCGGCGATATGACTCCGTAGGATCTCCAGTGTGCTGTCGGCTAAGATATTCTGCTACTTGTCTGGCTGGGAATTCTGTTTCGCAAACGTATCCGAAGTCCCGCGCTAAATGGATTGCTTCCCCTGAAACAAATCAGATTCGTAACTTTAAGTTTTGCTCCACGTTCTCAGCGATTCAAAAAAATTGAAGAGATAGAAGAAGGCTAGGTTTGCGAGAAAGAAGGAGTGGGACGCATACCTCACCCCCAAGATGAAAAGTCCGCATGCATTTTTGAGGGGCAAACAAAAGTGTTGATGGACTATTGTGTCAACGATCACGGCGTTGACAGTTAAAAGTAAAAAAAAAAACCCTCCACAGTACTCAAACTTTAAAAACAAATTAAATTTCCATCTGATTTAAAGAAGTTAGGTTGAGTCGAGCGCAGTGTTCGAAACTCACAGGCGCCAGCATGCCAAACACGCCCAAGAAATCGGTCATGGCGCCCAAAAAATGAAGGCTCTGCGTCATCGTGGCCCCTAAAAATCCCCAACCCCCCCAAAAAAAAAACCAAAAAAAATCCTAAATTTTCTGTTCGGTGATTTTTGGAGCTTTTCTCCTCCTCAAGTTACAGCTACTATTTCTGCACCTACAACATCTTGAGTCTACAACTTTTCACTTAATGCGCCGTGATATTTAGGCAAAAAGTCCATTTGGCCCCTTAAAAAATCCTCAATGGCCCCTAAAAATCGAGCTTGATGGGCCACATGGCTCCTAAAACTCAAAGGTGAGTTTCGAACACTGGTTGAGTAGTGATACAATTTAAGTTGAGGTGAAACGAAATGAGTCAATTATCAGCTTGCTGGTCGATGAGTATGTTGAGTAAGTGCGATGAGTATGAGCTCATCTGTTGAGATTAAAATGCGCCTACGTAAGTCACTGAAAAGTAAAAAAACCTCCACAGCGCCTAAACTTTAAAAACAAATTAAATTTCCATTTGATTTGAGGAAGTTAGGTTGAGTTGAGTGGTAATTCAATTTAAGTTGAGGTGAAACGAGGTAGGTCAATTATCAGCTTGCTGGTCGATGAGTATGTTGAGTAAGTGCGATGAGTATGAGCTCATCTGTTGAGATTAAAATGCGCCTAAAAGTCACTGATTAGCTCGCCGGAGGCGCCGCGCGCGGATAGGGACTCATTGAAAATCTCATCGGCGGAATGAAAGAGTCCCAACGGCAGCAGCTACTGACCCCGCATCCATATCACCAAACGCGGCCGTGCCCGTGATATTCACGACCCATGTTGCCACTTTTGAGGGGACTTTATTCGTTTGCGCATTCGCGGTGGAACCTTCCGGATGCACTGGGGGGAAAAAAACACATTGGATCTAGAGTCCAGACTCTTAAAAACATCGACAAGAAAAAATCCTCTTGATTCAATCAGATTTTTGCTTAAATCAAGAACCAAGCCTCTTAATTTGAGCGGATTTCCTTTTGATTTAAGCTTAAATCTGATTGAATCAAGAGTATTTTTTCTTGTCGATGTTTTCAAGAGTCTGGACTCAAGATCCATTGTGTTTTTTTTCCTGTGTGAGAAAAAAATATTAAGACTGATCCAAGCACCGAGTCTCTTCGCTTTTCCTAAAAATGAATCTGCTTTGACCTTAGGAAAAAGCAAAACGACCAATGAACGGTTTATTTAGTCTGTTTCGATAATAGATGAGGCTGCATTTATAGTCGAATCCCGAAGGACGCAACACCCACATGGGTTCATTTCAGGTAAATATTGAGATGAGCTCCAAAGTTCCTGAACGATTTGCGGGTTCATATGGAATCTTTTTACAGTTATTGCAAAACGATTTCATTGAGATTTTTGTTAGAACTAGTTTGTTGCGTACTTTGTTTTGGTTTGTTGTACCTAGGTTTCAAGGATTGGAAGGGCACCAGGAATTGAAAATTATTGCAGTAAAATTGAAATAAGGTGCACATTCTTCGCATGGCAAATTGCCCATCACTCTCATAAACCTATGAAGCTCATTTTACTTATCTTTCAAAATCGGCACTTATTGGCTGTGAATGATGTAAAAATATTGTAGTTTAATGCAGAAATTAAAATTTCAGTAAATCAATTTCTCTCAATTTTGTTTTGATCACTGAAAAAAATGGTAGGCTGTTTTAGCACCTACGATGTCAAAAATGTGCCTATGATGATCCTAAGATGCTGCCGTGATTGCCCACGCAGTTGAATTTGCATTCACAGGACCTAAAGTTAACTGCGAGGGCAGTAAAGGCAGCATCTTGGGATCGATCACAAAACGCATTTTTGACTTCCTAGATGCTAAAACAGCATATTATTTTTTTCAGTGATGTTTTCTTCGCACTATGCTACTTTGAATGAACCAATTACTTATAAGCACCATATAACACTTAGAGTATACTTTTAATATTTGAGTAAAAAGGCAACGTTGCGTGACGCAACGCCGAGAAAATAAAGGCAGAAGCGGGAGCACGGATTTCACGCTGACAATCGAGCGCCACGCCGCGCCGGGGCGCATTTTGTCCGGGGTTCGGGGAGTCAACGTACCAGACCACCGCGCAGCCACGATGCTCCCGCAAAACCACCTATCTGCGTCAATTTTACAGTCAGAGATACGCAGTTTTCGGTTCGCGGGCAGGATGCTCATCGCTGAAATGATACAGGGGCCGGAGACAAGCAGCACCTACCCATCGCGGCGCCTATGACGCCCGGGTATTTTAATTAATGAGACCTCGGCCGCCCAACCTGAATTGCGGCTAAGTATCTCAACTATGCCCATATTCCCGAGCAATTATGCATTTCCGCGATCCGATTGTTCAGTAAAGTCGAACGATAGGGCCCGCTACTTCCAAGTAGTAGCCCGCCCCCTCCAGGGGTATAAATTATACGTGAACCCATATTTGCAACCGCCCGCGGGAGAAGGAACATCAGCTCTCAATAAAAGAACTCAAAATTCAATCTCCACTCGGCCTGATTCCCTGAAAATTTGAAGGCCTGGACCATGGATGCGTACTAACCCTAACCCGATGCTTATTCAAGGTTGCAGAATCCTCAAATGGTTTAAAAACCTCTAATAACCTTGGAATAAATAAATAAATAAATAAATAAATAAATGACTAAAAAAAGAGGAAGAAAAAAGAGAGAGGTGTTGGTACCATCAGCGCTTTTCGAACATTTCTGCACAAAAGAAGTCAAAAACCGTTTCATTAAACCGGACTATGACAATTATTAGACCACATATTGCGATTGGGAATTTCTATTTCAGTCTCGTTTAGGAACAGCATAATATTTTGTGTGCCATTTGATTTCCCATGCAGAAAGATACTTCAGAAAATGAGCCAGAAGTAACGGTTAATTACAGAAATGCACTGCAATAGCGAAACAAATGACATATATCGACGGTGAAACTACCAAACCACGTATCTCGGTTTGCGACGTCGCAGACTTCCTGTCATATTTATTTTTTAAATGAAAAACGACTTAACATCTAGTCTTGAAAATTTCTGTGATTTTTCCTCTTTGTGCGGAGAAAATTCCGTGAAAATTTCAGGGAATGATATTGATTTGGTCTACTTCAAAAAAATAAAATGTGAGCGTAGATTTTTAAACACCGCAAACGAGATACGTGGTTTGGTAGTTTCACCGTCGATATGCTGTTGCTAAAATGAGCAAGAAACAGTGGTTCCTTATTGCAAAACGTTGTCCAATTAACAGTTGATCAAATTTCAATAATCGTTCCGCCGTCGCGTCGGAAAAAGTGTACGATCGCACAGAAATAACCGGGAGACTTGAACGAATGGTTAGGAAAAAATTCGATAGGAACGCTGATTATGCGGGACACTTGTCGTCTCCTTGTTGATTTTCTTTTCTCTCTGTCCTCACAGCTTACAGTCTGATGCAGTGATGCATTTAGACTATGTAAACCGGGTGCTTAGGTGCTAAAGGTATGGCCATGCGTACTCGCTTCGCATTAGCTAAGCAGAAGCAAAAATCAGCTTCCCCGCCGCATGCCGCGCTAAGTGAATGATTTCCTCCTCTTCGTGGACCCCTTTCATCCTCGCATGGCGCGGTCTTCAACTCCCGTACTCCATGATGGATTAATTAACTTTATGGAATACCTCCGCGTACTATCGTTGGAATAGCCTAATTTTGCCTCGTACGGAGTGCCCCTTGCTTATGGACCTTCGACTGTGTTAAACGGAGACAGTTCGTTCTTCTCGTTGTATTTTGATGGTTCCACGCTTCGGCACATTTTATTTAACAGGAAAGCATACGGATATTGATAATGACCCTACGAAACCGAGTGCCTCGAAACTCTACGTTGCAGATTACCTGTCACAGTTTACTTAGTCCGGAAATGACTATTTCTTCAAAAAAATTCATTCAGAAATTTTGATTCCTGAAAATGGCAAATGAAAACTTTTAAAAACGCCGATTTGGTGTAATTTTTCTTGGCGTTCCTTTTATTCAGCTAAAAAAAGTTTATATAATACTTCTTCGACCAGTACTGCCGTACTAAGGCAGAACGCCGTCGGAGCCTTCAGAGGCTGCCAAATTTATAATAAAATACGGATTATCAAAGAAATCTGTGAGTGTTTATCTCCAGATTTTCAGAGAATTACTTTCACAATTAAATCTAAATTAGCTGAACGTTTAAACAGAAAATATTCTTAACTCTCCTCGAAAATCAACATTTTTTCGAAGGAAATTTGGCAACTCTCGAATGTTCATAAGGCGTTCTTCCTTAGCACGCCGGAGCAGTACATCTCGATTTTGAGATATTCTCGCTCTAGGTAGATAGTCAGAATAAATGAATGTATGCATTTTTTTCGGTTCAACATATTTAACTTCTTCAAAAAAAGAAAAAAAGAAAAAAAAATTGCGCACTAAAACTCCTCTCTCTGAATCGCAGATAAGAGCGTTCGTTCTGCGATTAATTCAAAACAATATCCCCAACCGCTAAACTCGATCTACAGACAGGTGATATGAGAATCTCGCCATGCAAGATCCTTTTGGCTTCCTTTCGTTTTTTTCTCTCTTTTTCAGACAGACCGGAGAGGAGGCCGGTTCGAGTGGTCGGGGCAGCGCGCGAGGACTACAAATTAAGATCATG